CCCCCCCCAAAATAAATAAATAAATAATAATAATAATAATAATAATAATAATAATAATAATAATAATAATAATAATAATAAAATATTTCCTTATTTCTCAGCTGCACACAAGATCAATGCTAAAAGTGAAATAGGACTATTAAACTAACCACCACTCATAAAAGAACAAACCCCAAAATCACACAGCGGTGCTGTTGCTGTATGGCGGTCAAACCTATTATGGCGGTTGCCTGCTTAAAGTTCCATATCCGACGCCGTCATTTTCTCCCCGTCGACTTGCCGTTTTCCGCCGGACCTTGATGCAGAAGAGTAGTAGAATGCAATGGCAGCACGTTAGAGGAGCCAGTAGTAACTGGACATTCAATACTACTTTCACCACCGCTGCCATTGACATTATTTGCTATATGATTATCTCCCTTCAAAGTAAAACCAGTCACCATATGCAAACACAACTTCTACTAGCCGATGAAATCTCAATTTTTGGAACTGGTTCTTCTTCGAAATGGATCAATAATAAGGGATTAATATGCACTGTATTTGATTTGATGCTGCAAGAAAAGTGTTTAATAAGGATGGTTCTAAGAAGCTGCAGGTGAGAAATTGGCAAGATAGGCTCATTTTTTCAAATACATTTCAGTTGATATCCAGTTTGTGTTGCAGCAATGCCTTACTTTCGCTAGTTTTCTATTTCAGGCTGGTGTTAACAAGCTTGCATATTTAGATTGTAACGTTCCAAATTTTTACTATTAGTTGTTAGATTTAAATTTAGGACTTAAGTACGCTATTATTAATGACTAATGACCTTCTTGGTTATTGACCAATAGTTTGAGGACCTAAGTGAAAAATTATTTTGGAAATTAGATGAATAGCCTGTTTGGGAGTGATTTTTTGGCCCAAAAAATTGATTTTTTGGCCCAAAAAATTGATTTTTTGACCGTTATTTTACTATTCCAACCGTCATATTTGACTTCTTCTCTCACAGGTGGACCCCACTTTTCTCCTAACGGTTAAAAAATCAATTTTCAAAATCACTCCCAAACAAGCTCGAAATCATGCGTAAAACATTTGTAAATATGCCAATTGGTCTTAATCAAATATGATTTATTGATCACATGCATAATTCACACCATATTTCAAGCCAATGTAATTGATTTGACCACATGTATTATTGACACCAAGTTTTAAGTTAAGTGAATTGATTTGGCCACATGATTAAAGGTATTGATTTGACCATTTTCATGATAAGATACCACTTATGCATTGACCATGTCTAACCCTAGGCACATTTGGTTTTGGGTGGGTTTCGACTTCAACCCGAAATCAAAACCAAATTAGTCCATTTAGATGAATTTCAACCTGAACCAATCCACTATAACTCTTAAACAGAACCGAAACAAACCAAATCAGTTCGGTTCGATTAGTCTATTTGGACTTTTAGTCCAAATTAAATTTTTAAAAAAAGGTTTAGTATAATATAATAAGCTTGTGAAGGAAAATTTCCAACGCTATTACTTACCGGCAACATCATAGATTGGAGAAAATCGAGACATATTTAATGAGGTTAGGGCTTTTTTTTAAATTAAAAAAAAAAAATGTAAACGTGTAAGTGGATTGGATCGGTTTGATAAATTAGTAATTTGAGACTTTAAACCATGACTGAACCGATCCACCATAATTTTGTTTAAAAGAAAATCAAATTAAACCAATTACTTGTGTCGAACCGATCTAAACCAACTCGAGTCAGTTCGATTTGATTGGTTTGGTCAATTTTTCGATTTTTTTGCCCAAGTCTACCTAACGTCTAGTCATTTCCTTTTACTTTTCTACACATAGTCAAGAATCTACACTATAATTTGAAGACAAACCCAATACTAGACTACCCATCACCAATTATTTACACAATCACCCTCTCTACCTCTATCACTTTGTCTCCCCACCTTTTCTTTTTCACTTCTCCTTTCTATATTAAATATAGTCGTACGCTTACACAATCACACGTGAATAGTCAAACCCACACGCAGCTCAAGGATCTCTTTCTAACAATCACTGTTTTTGTCATTCTCAATTGGCCAATGAAAGGTAAGTTGTGCTTTATATTTATAGTGAATAATGCTTATACATGTAATATTTCTATGGCTATGTTATGTTTATCTCAACTAAAATTTTATCCATTAGCATAAAAAGCCAGAAATAATCAGTCTAATTCGGTAATACAATTAAAAGGTACTTATTAATTCCGTCCATTGTCATTATTATTCACTGATTTCTCAATAAAAAGTTCAAAACCCATTACCCACCCCAATGCAACAACCTTAAGTTAGAAAAATGAACCAATGAATGCCAATAATAATCTTGTGCATCAAATATTATCCAGGAAAGGAAAATCATTTACGAATTTCGGTCTCTTTTACAAATTCAGCAACGTGAACGCAAAGCCAGCACCCAGTGACAATATATGCGTGGTAAGCTCAAAATCTCAATCTTTCCATATCTAGATTATTCTCTACTATTCATGTATGAATCTACCAATATGATAAATTTTTTGCCAATTATAGATCATATATTATAAATCAAAACAATGGAAATCTAAACCCCCAAAACTAGATCCAATAAATTCCCCAAATTCGAAGAAAGGCCCCCATGAATAAAAATAAAATTTATAACCCTAAATAAATCTCTTTGCCTCAAAATTAAACAGAACAAAACTTACAAACTTCAAGATCGCTGCTGCAGAACTCATCGTTCCTTCCAAGACAAGAGAAAAGGCCGGAATCCCACTGGGCCCTTTGCACCATGGGCTCACCTATCAAGCTCAGAGGCACCCCATCAGCAGTCCAGCCCATTGGCACCGCCGGTGTCGATTGCTTCATGGCCTCCGCAAGCGGAGGAGCTGCTCCGTGTTTCGCCTTGGTGTTCAATTCCTTTTCATCCTTCGTTTCTTGTTCTTGATTTTGCTTTGTCAGAAGGGGGCTAGATTCCTCAGAATTCGCCATCACAACAGGTAGAATTAACAACTTATATTATCTATAAAAATACCGAAATTTAGAAAAATGAAATCTGAAAGTGAGGAATATTTAAGAGAGAAGTATGAAGTAGGTACAGATTGGTGTACGCATTCACACAGAAGAAACCAAGAAAGTGTCGGTCTACCTAAAATGTTTCCCTAGCACAAAAGTTATCTTTGGCATTTTCACATTTTATTGCAAAAAAAAAAAAAAATTCAGTTATATCAATTTTTAATAACTAATATACCCTCTTATTTAATTTTTTTTTAAAATACAATCTTACCCTTAAAATTTTCAAAAAATTACAAGTAACCTCATCAAAAATAACGTCACCTTAACAGGGCTATCAGCCTCCATCTCACCAACCACTACTCAACCGCCACCTAAAACTCCGGAGCTCATACCATAAACAACCGTCATCAACTGCCAACACTTTCTCATAAATAAATTGAACAAACAAAAAATTTATATGGTCAAAATCAACCAAAAAACTAGCTTGTCGCACATGTAACACGCTGCATTTGCCATCAATTTTGGCGTCGGCAATGGTTCCCACCATCATGGACCACCCATTCCCACTTCACCACATCACGCCGCACTTGCTACAATAATGGGCTTTCATCAATCACATTCTAATAGGCCCCAAAATTTTTAGCCACTTATTGCCCAATAATAAATTGAAAGCTGTTGTTGTAGATTTTGATTCTGTACGATGTATTGATGTTTTAAGACCATGAAGAGAGGCGCGCTATTAAGTATAATCGATTAGTGTATTGAAAAAAACATGGGTCTTGTCAGAACACTTGATATCACCATAATTTGCATTCACAGGTTATGCATTTTGACTTACAATTCCAACCAAATCTATTGGCATTAAGCTTGGATGTTCGATGGCATGTGTGAGTGAGAGTTTTCTGATGATATGGAGGTTCAACAGTTTGGACGGTGGTTGTCTAAAGTTTTTTGGCTTCTAAGGTAGCGGTCCCATTTGGTGGTGGAGGGGCGAAGAGAGGAGGAGAAGAAAAGAAGAGAGAGATTTTTTTTTCTATTTTTAATATTTAATAATTTATTTCGACTCATTTTTTAAAAGTTTAGGAGTAAGATTGCAATTTGTTTTTTATTTTTTTGTTTATTTAAATAGAATGATATATTAGTCATTTTACATTAAAAATTGGTAAAAAAAGACGTTTTCAACAATAAAAAGTGAAAATGCTAAAAGTGAAAGGTATGAACGTTTTGCATAATAACATTGAAAGGTAGGGACATTTTGTGTTAATTACCCCTATCTATATATATGTGTGTGATGTCTGCATTACTACTTATTTCCCCCTGTTTGGTTCGGATAAAAACTCAATTAAAATCTCAAATCAAATTTAACAATTAATTTTAATCACACATTATATTGGACCAACAACTTTTTAACTACACATTTTATCAACTTTTATAAAAATATGTAGCGAAAACTATCAATAGTCATCCTAAATGGCATACATTTTATTATTTAAGGCATGATATAATAAAAAAAAAACTATCACATTAATGTATCAAATAGCAAATTGCCGATAGCTCTAATTGTGAGTAACATTATTCTTAAGTGGTGTGGAAGCCGTAGCGAATTAGACTTAAAATCGTGCCTACTGTTCTCTTTTGTGCTGCTCCTTTGTTGAATTAATTTTGGGGATCCGATTTATGCTGCATCTGTTTAGCAAAAAAGTTGCGGGGGTCATTAATATTTTACTATAGAGAAAGTTACTTTGTATTGATTATCCAAAAATATTTAAATCCCACAATGAGTTAATTATGATTGTGCTCTTTGTTCTTTTATCTTTGTGAATATGCATAACTACTAATTAGGGTTTATTTTCGAAAAATTACATAAATAACTCTTATGAGGTTATAAATCCCACAATGAGTTAATTATGATTGTGCTCTTTGTTCTTTTATCTTTGTGAATATGCATAACTACTAATTAGGGTTTATTTTCGAAAAATTACATAAATAACTCTTATGAGGTTATAAATCCCACAATGAGTTAATTATGATTGTGCTCTTTGTTCTTTTATCTTTGTGAATATGCATAACTACTAATTAGGGTTTATTTTCGAAAAATTACATAAATAACTCTTATGAGGTTATAAATCCCACAATGAGTTAATTATGATTGTGCTCTTTGTTCTTTTATCTTTGTGAATATGCATAACTACTAATTAGGGTTTATTTTCGAAAAATTACATAAATAACTCTTATGAGGTTATAAATCCCACAATGAGTTAATTATGATTGTGCTCTTTGTTCTTTTATCTTTGTGAATATGCATAACTACTAATTAGGGTTTATTTTCAAAAAATTACATAAATAACTCTTATGAGGTTAACCCTCTTTTTTTTTTCGATGTACCTATATATTGTTATACAAATCTAGAATAATATAAATTTATTTATTAAAGAAAAAAAACATAGAGAATGAAATTGCATAAATATATAAACCACCGAAAAACAACTATAAACCTGCAAACCAATGCTTGTGTGTACACAGTTTGCTTAAAACAGATTTGCACATTTACCGTAGGTGCTCAAGGTTAGTTTGGATATATGTCTCCTGTGATACAATAAAAAGAGCCAGTAGAATCTGAGCACTTCAATTTCTACTCTGATGAAATGAACTCGTGCCAGAACAGTACCATCGAAACTTAGACGGAAATGAAAATTTTCTGAGTACCGGAACTAGAAAGCGAACTGGAAATTATGTAGGAAGGGTATTGTTTTTCTGTGGTTGTATGGAGGAAAACCGAGCTCAATTATAATCTTGGCCCCATGAATGGTAAGTAAATTTGTTTATTAACTCACAATTAATTCCTTTGTTGAATTAGTTTTGGGGATCCGATTTATATTGCGTCTATTTAGTAAAAAAGTCACAGGGGTCATTAATATTTCACTATAGAAAAAGTTACTTTGTATTGACTATCCAAAATATTTAAATCCCACAATGAGTTAATTATGATTGTGCTCTTTGTTCTTTTATATTGTGAATATGCATAACTACTAAATTAGGGTTTCTTTTCGAAAAATTACATAAATAACTCTAATGAGGTTAACACTCCCTTTCTTTTTTTCTTTTTCTTTTTCCTTTTTTTCTCCCTTTGATGCACCTATATACGAGTTTGGACTTATCATGGTCAAAAACTTGGCCTATTTTCTACACTACAAGAATTTTATCTTTTCTCTACAAAATTTATTTTTAGGGAAAAGTTCTTATTTGTAGGGAAAACCTTTTGTAGACAAAAAAATTTTGTAAGAAAATTTGTGGGGCAAACATCAAGGGGAAAGAGTTAGACCCACAAATTGTTGAAATTTGTTGGCTAAAGCTTTTCCCTATGAACCATTTGGAGACAAATACAATATGTCGTGTAAGTTTTTTCCCAACAAAATTGTTTGTCTGCTAAAGTTAATTTAGTCCACGAAATAATTTCGTTTTCCCCTACAAATTACGTTGTAGGCTAAAATGTACACATTTTCCCAACAATTAGAAATTTGTGGCAACATGTATAGACTATTTTGGAAGCTATTAGTCACTGTCACGTGCGTTACACGAATTTTTTATTTATCATATTTTTATTAATGTATGAATTTTATTTTTTTGAAAAGTTTTTAAAGTAATATTTAGAAATATTTTCATGATATAAAAAAATAATTACAAATTATTTTTGCAATTGCATAACATTATATTATCTAGAAAAAATATGCTTGTACATTTCATGCTTGAATAAGAAATATATAAACTATTTTGCCTGTATTATTTGATAGTGTTGATATAATTGAGTTAAATGTGAAGATTATATTTTTAAATTTTGTGTAATTCAATATTGGAAAATTGAAAATTGAGCACAAAGTTATAAATCGACTTGCATATCCATACGTATATTTTAATATTTATTTTATGGTTATGTTGAAAAAATAAAAATTCGAATTTTTTTTTTTACATTCGATTTGGTAAGTGAATGAACGGTGTTGTGCATTCTCGGTATTTGTAAGTGTAAAAATCGGTATATGAAAATACAATAAGCTGCAAATGCACCATATACGATAAACCGCAAATATGTTAGGTAGCATATACAATAAGTTGCTTGCAAATACGATAGGCAGCATATACGGTAAGCTGCAAATATGATAAGTTGCCTGTAAATACCGTAGGTTCAAATACGGTAAACTGCAAATACGGTAGGTAGGCAGCATATTCGATAAACTACAAATACAGTAGGCATCATATATCGTAAGTTGCAAATACGATAAACTGCATATACGGAGTTATAATTTGTTATAAATGTATAAAATTTATTTAATATTGAATTTCATAAGTACTAAATATTGTAATTCAATATTGTTTCTTTTTTTATAATTGTATTTCCGGGAATTTTAAAAAAAAGGTGGTTATGAAATTGCTAATTTTTAAATATGTTTTTTTGTTGAAAAAAAAAATATTTTGTATGATATTTGTAAAAAAAAAATATTGTAATTTTATTAGCGTAATAATAAAATTTATTATGATTATTTAAAAAAATTTTAACACCACACAATAAATCTATACTTTTAACCTGGTGGCTGCAAAGTTTTTTGTGTATTAATAATGCATTTTTCATTCGGACAATAATGCCGAATTTTTCGGCATCATTATTTCGTTTTCTTCTTTTCACAGGATTTACTTTTTTCATTTTTTTCTTCTTTATATATTTAGATGCTTTTGTTAGATTCTTTTGTTGTTAGCAATGATTATTTTTTTAAGAGTTTTTTTGGTATTATATTGAAGTTAAACTTTTTCTTATAATTATATTTTTTATTAGATTTAATGCATATTTTTAACTAATAAAATAATAAACTAAACAAATATTAGGTTGCATGATTAAATTAAAAAAAATCGTTGCATGGTTGCACAAATTGTGCAACTCCGCAAAATCTGTGCGGACTCTTGTGTAGAGTTCCCGCACAATGTGCGGAGTTCTCGCACATTTGGAGACATGACCTTACAACATATTTTTTTGTTTAAATCATTAAATTAGTAATTAGATGAAATTAATTCTAGCAAATGCATTTTGTTTATTTTTAATTTTTAATTTTTGAGAAATTTGTATACTTTTTTATTTAGTGTATTTTTATTAGCTTATTAATTATTATTAATGATTTTTTTTTAAAAAAATTGTATAAATAAAAACAAATCTATTGGTTGGTGAAGAATTAAATGAAATAGTAAATGGGTTTTTTAAACCAATTATTGCTAGGAAAATGCCAAAAAATGTTGTATATTAAAACTTGTTTTACATGGCAACAAAAGACAAGAGCAATTCACGTGATTTTTTCTGAAAATTCTTAAAAGTTAGTTTCACGTGAATAAAAGTTCTGTATGAGCCTAAACCATCCATTTCTTTGCATTTCAAACTGGAGTTTTCTTATAGCTGGATTTTTCATCATTCATTTTTAGCAAAATCTTAAGTCAATTTCAGAAAAAAAATTACAAGGTAATTGTTTAGTCTACATGATTTTTTTTTTTTTTTGTAGTTAATTTGTTTTCCTGCTGCTGTTGTGAAAAAAATTTTGTGAAAAATTTTGTGGACTACTTCTCATCTACTCTTTGATGTATTTGAAAATCTAAATGTTATTTTTTACAGATTTTTGTTGTGTTTTACTCTATGTAGAGAAAAAGAGACACGATTAAGGTAAATATGTACTCCATGGATACATACAACTGGAATATGGTCTACTACTGAATTTTGATTGCTAACTTTTGGAGTTCAAAAATATCACAGTACCTTTTTTTATTTTTAAAAATCAATATTTTGTTTTGTTGAGTATATTTGTATGCTTGGTATGTTGAATAAACCTCATAAATTAATAGTAACCTCTACCTTCACTCTTTTAAAGTAAAGGTGATTAATTGATGATGTGTTGACATTATTTAAGAGTATATTTCATGCTAATATTTGACTCTTTTGCTGCGCCTGCAAAATCAAGTTAAGATTCTAAAAACATTATTATGTTTGTATATTGTAAATTGGAAAACATCCAATATAATTACAAAGACTAAATTTTAAAAGATGAGATATGTTAACAAAAGAACAAGGACATACTCTACTAAAAGAGTGACCGAAGAATGTTTTTATAATTCAGCCTTAACTATGCTTGCAACAGTATGTTGGCAATGCTTTAGTCCGCAATTACAATCATTTAGATATAGTTTTATCGACCAATTTTTCAAACATGCAACATGTGGTTAGAGATGGTTTTACAACAATTGTTGGAGTCTTTTCTGTTAAACCAAGATTTGGACATCTTTCTTTCAAAGATAAAACTTGGACTGAACGAACATCACTGACAACTAATGTTTGCTGTATATGCTGAAATGAGAGTTATTAGATATCCAAGTCTTTTATCTATTTGCTTCTACATGACTAGATATTCACATCAACATATGCTTGTAATTTTCCTATTGAAGCAAAATAATAGTGTCTGCCTATATATATACCTCTATCAATGTATATCCATTTCAAGTTCACAAATGAATATAGAGGTTTATGTTCAAAATGCCTATCTAAACAAAAGTTATGGACTTGAGATCTAGAGAAAAAGATGAATATAAAGGTCCTATGCAAGATTAAACATGTAAAGAGGTACTACTTTACCTGGAAGAAGATTGAATTGATGCACAACTTTGCAAAATTAAGAAGATGACAAGTATGTGATACCCCATATATCAATTATATCTGAATCGTGATGATTGTAGCATACTAATAAAGGCCATGATTGAATTAGTGATTTGAGATAGAGAAAACCTAACCTCTCATAGAAATCTTTTAGCTGAAATATGAAATCAGAAATCACTGCATCCTTCACCAAAATCTAAATTACCATGAACCTGGCATACCATTGTAGTTTTTTGACATAGGTTTTAGTTTCAACAGCAAGCATAACAACATATGATATGATTATCTAGAACTATATATGCTCTGGGTACATTGTTTTATAGCACTAAATATTTATTTATTAATTAGTTATGTGGATAAAGTGAAAAATATTTGTTCAAGGTATGTTTTAATTTTTATTTGTAATCACATTTTCTCCAAAAATTAGTTTGTAAATAAGTTTTGTTATTTGATATAGATGTCTCTAGATTATATCTTGTCTCCAGACCAATGATTCTGTGCTACTATTAGTCAATATTCAAATCATCGATACGTTAGGGATTTGATAGAATTGTTACAAGCAGACGAACAATCATCATTAATGTACAGTAATTTTTATGGATTTCTATATGGATTCATATATAGAGACGAAGAGCAACAATTTAGTAGGAAGTTGATACATGAATTCATAATGAGGATTGTGAATTTCGATAAAAACAATGAAGTGTGGGTCAGATTTGATAACCATCTTGCCCATTTTAGATTGCAAGAATTTTGCTTAATCACTAGACTACCTTGCCACGAACCATCTGTTAATCTTAATCGTAGTAATCCTCGGTTTAGAAACCAATATTTCAAGGGTTTGAAAAGGATTTCTATGAGGATGCTCCATGATGCCTTCAATTCATGTGAAGATCGAGAAGATAAATTGAAACTTGGATTAGTTATGTTGATAGAGTGTGTTCTCAAACCAATTGAAAGATGCATTGATTACAGAATGCTATGTATGGTTGAGCAGCTTGACGATTTTCTTTTGTATTCATGGAGCCGAAAGGCATACTGTAATACTCTAGTCAATTCAAAAAGAAAAGTCAAAGTTAAAAAAAGGAACAAAAGACAAAAAAAAGTGGCAGGCGGTGGAAGTTAATACAAATTCAAACCAAATTCATAACACACACAACACACACACACAAGAACGGACCAGAGAAGAAAAAGAGAGAAAAAGAGAGAGGAAAAAGAAAAAAGAAAAAGAAAAAGAGGAAGAAAAAGAAGAAGAAAAAAAGGGGAAAAATTTGTCAATGTGTAAGGAATTTAGTGCTCTATCCTATTAGTCTTGAATTTCTCAATTTTGAAAGGTAAGTAAAAAGTTACTTATTGTTAAGTTATGTTTGATTTTGTAGTTGTTAGATTGTTAGGTTAAATTTAATTTTATTGAAGGGGTTAAGTATAATAAACTATGAAATTGAATAAAATGAAAGAAAAATTAATTTTAGTAATTAAAGAGACGTTAAAAATCGCCTAAACGTGAAATAATTATGTTTAGGTATCGCCTATTTAATTATTGAAATTAGTTAATTGTTGATTTAAAAATTATATTATATTTCAGGTGGCGATACGGATATCAGGACAGCGTATCAATCGAATTGATTTTGGCATATATAGTTCTGTGAGTGGAAAAATATAAATATTTTTAAAGTATTTATAAATTAAGTTTATTGTTAAAGTATGTGCAATTATATGCAATTATGTGTTCGAATTAAATGATTTTTATGGAAATATCTTTTATTATGATACATGTGGGATTTCAAAGATTGTATACGTTACATTGTGAATTGGAATATGAGATATGATTTTGAGATCGATCAGAAAAGTACCCGTGATTATATATTTCTTCTAGTTCACTGAGGGGCCTTGGCCGTATTCTATACTACACTGAGGGGTCATGGACTGGGGATGAAGGGGTCTCGACCGTGTACATATAGTTCACTGAGGGGCCTTCGCCGTGTTCTAGAATTGATTTTGAGAGGTCTTTGAGACCGACTTTCATTCACGGAGGGGCTAAAGGCCCGTGACGAAAGTTCTTAGCCCGAGGGGCGGATTACATATTTCAATCAGAGGGTACGTTTTTGGTGGATTTTTCAGAACGTTTGATGTGATGAGATTATAACATGGTTATCAGCTGATGTTATATCATGATTTTAAGATGATATTTTTATGACATTATATGAATATTTCACTTTCTGGCTATAATTACATGATGTTAGCTTGTGAATTATCAAATTGTTTGAATTTGATTTCCAATAAAAATGTATAAATGAAAATGTATATTTCTTGTGAACTTCTCCACTCATTGAGCTATCAACTCATATATTTTTTCACGTTTTTCCTTATCAGGCAGCAGTTGAGAATCTGGGCATCTTTTGGAGTTGAGCCTTGATTTTGGAGTTAGAGCCATACGACAGAGTTTGTTAGTATGACTCACTTCATAGAACATGTAGTCGGTGTTTTGGGACGCATGTTCATGTTTAAATGTGATTTTGCATCACTTGTAGTTAGTTGTGGGGCTCACTATGTATTATATATCCATATGTATATTTCATTGTATTTCTTGATAAAAGTGGAGATTTCAGCTTATCTTTATTGTGCTGTGCTATAATTTGGGATTTGTGTGAAATTGATCTCAGGTTGGTTAGTCCTGTTTACAGGGGAGATAATGCCGAAATTTTGTTAGAAAAATAATGTGTAAAAAGTGAAATATTGTATTTGTAGTAGCCTTGATGGTGGGTCCGACTTTTAGTTGGTATCTATCATAGGCGCATGCCACGTCCGGATCTCGTAGTGTTATACGGGGCGGGGTGTGTCAGTTTGGTATCAGAGCATGCATTAGAGTTCATGGGTTTGCATTGTACATGCATACATTCTGATGTTTAGCATATCATGCATAACTGTAGGTGAGTCATGCCTCGTGGTGGCAAAACTCGAAGGCTCCAAGATATGTTGCCCCAGTCTCAAATTGCTCCTGATAGAGATGAATTGAGAGAGCTCGAGAGAGTAGATGAATCAGTTCACCAGCCTCCTGAACAACGAGGACAGGGAAATGTGATTGGAACTGATCCTATTGCTGTTGAAAGAATTGCTATTGCCGTTGCATCTGCTATGCGTAACTCCGACAGAGATTTTAGTATTGAAAGGGCTACAAAGTTAGGGGCTAAAGTGTTCACTGGCACAGCTGATCCTGCAGTTGCACAGGCATGGATGACTAAGATAGAGAGAGTATTTGATGTTATGGGTTGCTCAGACGATAGGAAGTTGTGTCTCGCCACTTTCTTATTAGAGGAAGGTGCATACGATTGGTGGCAGTCGGTACAGAGCACATATCTAGACCCTTCCATCATCACTTGGACAGAATTCAGACGTATCTTTTATGATGTCTATTACCCTCGGTCATATAAAGATGCAAAGCAGGAGGAATTTTTGAAACTAGTACAAGGGCAGATGACAGTTGCAGAATATCAGGTGAGATTTATTGAACTTTCAAAGTATGCCCAAGTTCTGGTAAGCAACGAAATTGATAAATGTAGACGATTTGAAAATGGGTTAAGGGAAGAAATCCGATCAGTAGTAACAGCTGCAGGCTGGAATGTATTTGGCAAATTGGTGGAATCAGCTTTGAGAGTGGAAAAGAGCATTTCTGATAGGCCAAGTGGTAGAGAACAAACAATGTTCAGAGCAAGCGATAGTCAGACAATGGCAAGTGTTTCTAGCTATAGACCACCACGGAGAGACAGTAGAGGATTTCGTCCTGGTGTGTCCAGTTCAAGTCAATTCAAATCTCGATCACGAGGAAGTCAGGGCCCTAGATTCAGTCCCAGTACTGTACAGCAGCCAGTGGCCAGTCGTACTTATACTCAGGGTTCTTCCCAGAGATTATTTACTCCGAGACAGGGCGAGAGTTTTACTAGTACTAGACTACCTTATTGTCAATTATGTACAAGACCTCATCTCGGCACGTGTTTAAAGTTCAAAGAAAGCGGAGTCTGTTATCATTGTGGTCAAGGCCGACATATCAGAAGAAATTGTCCAGTTCTATCACAGGAGAGTGGTATGGTACCGAAGATATTTCCTCAGCAGAGTGTTGGTAGTACAAGACAGAATCAGACTCAGAGAGATGATTCAGTTAATAGAACAGGTGCAAACAGTGTGGCCCAGTCTAATTTCGCAAGTGGTAGTGGTACAAAATCAAAAGGGCAGGCAGGACGACCGAAGACCCAGGGTAAAGTTTTTGCTATGACTCAGCAGGCGGCAGAGGAGTCTCCAGATGTTATCATGGGTATGTTGTCTATTTTTGATAGAAATGCTCGTATTTTGATTGATCCTGGATCTACACATTCTTTTATGTCATTTGCATTTACTTTATATGCGAATCAAAAGTCAGAACTTTTAGGCAGTTGTTTGGTAGTGAGTACAATAGTAGGAGAATCACTATTAGCAAACAATATATATTGAGATTGTGGGATTAAGATAAAGGAAAATAAGCTGAAGGCAAATTTAATACCTCTCGACATACATGATTTTGATGTTATCTTGGGTATGGACTTTCTGGCAACAAATCGAGCTTCAGTTGATTGCTTTCGAAAGGAGGTTGTGTTCAGGCAGCCAGGACAGCCTGAATTTATATTCAATGGACAGCGTAGAATTTTGCCGTCTTGTGTGATATCTGCTATTGACGCTAGAAGATTACTCAACAAGGGCTGTCATGCATATTTGGCTCATGTAATTGATACAGATATTAGCAAACAAAAACTTGAAGATATCCTAGTGGTCAAGGACTTTCCTGATGTATTTCCAGAAGAATTACCAGGCTTACCATCAAACAGAGATATGGAGTTCACTATAGATCTGATTCCAGGAACTGCACCTATTTCACGGGCACCCTATAGAATGGCACCAGCAGAATTGAAAGAGCTAAAGGTTCAGTTGCAAGAGTTGGTAGACAAGGGTTTCATCAGACCTAGTATATCTCCGTGGGGAGCACCAGTTTTGTTTGTGAAAAAGAAGGATGGCACCATGCGACTGTGCATAGATTACAGACAATTGAACAAAGTGACAATTCGCAATAAATATCCTTTGCCACGTATTGATGATCTGTTTGATCAGCTTTGAAGTGCTGCAATATTTTCAAAGATTGATTTACGTTCGGGATATCATCAACTTAAAATCAAGGACAGTGATGTGCCAAAAACTGCTTTTAGGACAAGATATGGTCATTTTGAATTTCTTGTGATGCCATTTGGGTTGACCAACGCACCAGCAGCATTTATGGATATGATGAATAGAGTGTTTCGCCCGTATTTAGACGGATTTGTGATTGTATTCATTGATGATATTTTAGTATACTCTCGAGATCATAATGAGCACACAGAACATCTCAGAATCATCTTGCAGACTCTACGTGATGAGCAGTTGTATGCTAAATTTAGTAAATGTGAATTCTGGCTTGATAAAGTTGTATTTTTGGGATATGTCATATCAGCAGAAGGAATTTATGTTGACCCGCAGAAAACAGAGGCAGTGGTAAAATGGGAAAGACCTACTAATGTGACAGAAATCCGAAGTTTTCTTGGCTTAGCAGGTTATTACCGTCGTTTTGTAGAGGGATTTTCTAAAATTGCTCTTCCTTTGACCAGTTTGACTAGAAAGAATGCTAAATTTGTTTGGAATGAAAATTGTGAGAGAAGTTTCCTCGAATTGAAGAATAGATTAGTGTCAGCTCCAGTTCTTACCCTTCCATCTCCCGGTGAAGAGTTTGTGATATATAGTGATGCTTCACGTCAGGGTCTTGGTTGTGTTTTGATGCAGAATGGGAAAGTTATAGCGCATGCTTCCAGGCAGTTGAATAAACATGAACTGAATTATCCTACACATGACTTAGAGCTAGATGCAGTTGTCTTAGCCTTGAAAATTTGGAGACATTACTTGTATGGTGAGAGATGCCAGATATATACAGATCATAAAAGCTTAAATTATATTTTCGATCAGAAAGAGTTAAATTTGAGGCAAAGAAGATGGTTAGAGCTGATAAAAGATTACGACTGCAAGATTGATTATCATCCAGGGAAGGCTAATGTAGTTGCTGATGCTCTCAATCAGAAAATATCGAGTCCTATGACCCAGACTAATGCAGTATTTTCATCCTTGTTTGGTGAGTTTAGAGCTTCTCACGCTCAATTATCAGTTACCCGTGTAGGAGCATTATTTGCTAACTTCCAAGTGAGGCCTACTTTGATTGATACAGTTAGAGAAACTCAAACTCAAGATCCAATGTTGAACAAATTGAAAGAAGAAGTTAGTAAAGGTAAACATACAGATTATACCATTCGAGATGACGGAGCTTTAGTTATGGGAAATAGATTATGTGTTCCAGATAATTCGAAATTGAAGGGAGAAATTCTAGAAGAGGCACATAGTTCAGCTTACGCGATGCATCCAGGTAGTACAAAAATGTATCGTGTACTCAAAGAACACTATTGGTGGCATGGAATGAAGAGAGAAATACCTGAGTTTGTATCCAGATGTCTCATTTGCCAGCAAGTGAAACCAGATCGTCAGAAAACAACAGGATTGTTACAAACGTTGCCTGTTCCTGAGTGGAAATGGGAACACATTACTATGGATTTTCTATTTGGACTTCCAATCCACAAACAGATGGTCAGTCAGAAAGAACTATTCAGACTCTGGAAGACATGTTACGAGCTTGTGTACTGCAGTTCAAAGGGAATTGGGATACTCATCTTTCTTTGATGAAATTTGCTTATAATAACAGTTATCATTCGAGTATAGAAATGGCTCCTTTTGAAGCACTGTATGGTAGGAAATGCAGAACTCCAGTATGTTGGGATGAAGTTGGTGAAAGAAAGTTATTGGGTCTTGAATATATCCAAATTACTGCGGAGAAAGTAAAGATAATTAAAGAAAAGTTAAAGACATCCCAAGATAGACAGAAGAACTATGCAGATAGACGCAGAAGAAACCTTGAATTTGATGTTGGAGATAGAGTTTTCCTGCGATTGTCTCCATGGAAAGGTGTTATCAGATTTGGTAAACGAGGTAAATTGAGTCCGAGGTATATTGGCCCATATGAGATTGTTGAACGCATCGGTCCAGTTGCATATCGATTGGCTTTGCCAACAGAATTGTCCAGAATTCATGATGTATTCCATGTTTCTATGCTTCGTAAGTATATTCCAGATCCATCTCATGTTTTGGAATCACAACCAATAGAACTGAAGGAAAATCTTACCTATGAAGAAAAACCAGTTCAGATATTAGATAGGAAGGAACCGATTTTGCGTGGTAAGACTATTCCATTGGTTAAAATCATGTGGAGGAATCATGCTATAGAAGAAGCGACATGGGAAAGTGAAGAGCAGATGCGTTCTCAGTATCCCCAGATTTTTCGTACCTAGTTGATCGAATTTCGAGGACGAAATTCTTTTAAGGGGGTGAGTTTTGTAATACTCTAGTCAATTCAAAAAGAAAAGTCAAAGTTAAAAAAAAAAAGGAACAAAAGACAAAAAAAAAGTGGCAGGCGGTGGAAATTAATACAAATCCAAACCAAATTCATAACACACACAACACACACACAAGAACGGACCAGAGAAGAAAAAGAGAGAGGAAAAAGAAAAAAAAAAGAAAAAGAGGAAGAAAAAGTAGAAGAAAAAAGGGGAAAAATTTGTCAATGTGTAAGGAATTTAGTGCTCTATCCTATTAGTCTTGAATTTCTCAATTTTGAAAGGTAAGTAAAAAGTTACTTATTGTTAAGTTATGTTTGATTTTGTAGTTGTTAGATTGTTAGGTTAAATTTAATTTTATTGAAGGGGTTAAGTGTAATAAACTATGAAATTGAATAAAATGAAAGAAAAATTAATTTTAGTAATTAAAGAGACGTTAAAAATCGCCTAAACGTGAAATAATTATGTTTAGGTATCGCCTATTTAATTATTGAAATTAGTTAATTGTTGATTTAAAAATTATATTATATTTCAGGCGGCGATACGGATATCAGGACAGCATATCAATCGAATTGATTTTGGCATACATAGTTCTGTGAGTGGAAAAATATAAATATTTTTAAAGTATTTATAAATTAAGTTTATTGTTAAAGTATGTGCAATTATATGCAATTATGTGTTCGAATTAAATGGTTTTTATGGAAATATCTTTTATTATGATACATGTGGGATTTCAAAGATTATATACGTTACATTGTGAATTGGAATATGAGATATGATTTTGAGACTGACCAGAAAAGTACCCGTGATTATATATTTCTTCTAGTTCACTGAGGGGCCTTGGCCGTATTCTATACTACACTGAGGGGTCATGGACTGGGGATGAAGGGGTCTCGACCGTGTACATATAGTTCACTGAGGGGCCTTGACCGTGTTCTAGAATTGATTTTGAGAGGTCTTTGAGACCGACTTTCATTCACGGAGGGGCTAAAGGCCCGTAACGAAAGTTCTTAGCCCGAGGGGTGGATTACATATTTCAATCAGAGGGTACGTTTTTGGTGGATTTTTCAGCACGTTTGATGTGATGAGATTATTACATGGTTATCAGCTGATGTTATATCATGATTTTAAGATGATATTTTTATGACATTATATGAATATTTCACTTTCTGGCTATAATTACATGATGTTAGCTTGTGAATTATCAAATTGTTTGAATTTGATTTTCAATAAAAATGTATAAATGAAAAGGTATATTTATTGTGAACTTCTCCACTCACTGAGCTATCAACTCATATATTTTTCCACGTTTTTCCTTATCAGGCAGCAGTTGAGAATTTGGGCATCTTTTGGAGTTGAGCCTTGATTTTGGAGTTAGAGCCACACGACAGAGTTTGTTAGTGTGACTCACTTCATAGAACATGTAGTCAGTGTTTTGGGACGCATGTTCATGTTTAAATGTGATTTTGCATCACTTGTAGTTAGTTGTGGGGCTCACTATGTATTATGTATCCATATGTATATTTCATTGTATTTCTTGATAAAAGTGGAGATTTCGGCTTATCTTTATTGTGCTATGCTATAGTTTGGGATTTGTGTGAAATTGATCACAGGTTGGTTAATTCTGTTTACAGGGGAGATAATGCCGAAATTTTGTTAGAAAAATAATGTGTAAAAAGTGATATATTGTATTTGTAGTAGGCTTGATGGTGGGTCCGATTTTTAGTTGGTATCTATCATCGGCGCATGCCACGTCCGGATCTCGTGGTGTTATACGGGGCGGGGTGTGTCACACACTTTGTTTTGTTGAATTCATCGCAACAATTACACTTTTAAAGAATACTGAGAATGCAACAAATTGAGGGAAGGGAGTGCAAATATTCACTACATCAATATCCTCTTGCTTTGCAGGTATTTTTTTTTTTACTAAATTTTTATATATTATTTAGTTTAATGTTGTATATATCTAATATTTAGTTTCAATTTCATTTTTCAGTTTTGGATATACGAAGCATTTCCCAAGATTGTAAAAAAATTTGGACGCAGGAGATACAAGACATTACAAATTTCAAGAATGCATAAATGGAAGCCGAAACAAATATTGACAGACAAAATTGTAAAACAATATTTGTCTACACACGAAATATGATAATTATATGAAATTTACAATTAGTTATACATTTAATTATTCTATTATGGTATAGCATAGAATTCTAATATTTTATTATATTTATAGATTCGAGTCCTTACAGTATTTCAACTAATAGAAGAAGACATTGTGGTACACAACTCTGTCATTACCATTGGACAATAAACATACTATATTAGACAGCATTGTCACTGGAGAACTTGACAACATTGTACCACAAATTCCACATAGCAATCGTGTGCAACAAACAATTAATACTGATGATGCTGGTACTTCTAGAACATACGCTTCAGTTAGAACTTGACAACATTGTACCACAAATTCCACATAGCAATCATGTGCAGCAAACAATTAATGTTGATGATGTTGGTACTTCAAGAACATACGCTTCAGTTGGAATGGAGCCTAATTATGCTTCTATCGACTGTAACTATGTAACAAAAGAACAGATGGAAGAGATGTTCAGTACACATAGGTAGTATGTATTTGGTCTATACGATGACTTTAAGGCAAACATGGTTGAAGAATCTAGAAAATCAACATGCTGAATATCTTGAAAACCAGAAGCAAATGTTTGAAGAACAGCAAAAATATCACGAACATCAATATCAAGAGTTGCACTCTGCCTACCAATGTGGTATGCAATCTGCATATGTGGGTACTTAAGCTTTCTGCCGGGATTTTTTGGTACACACATGACTGAACAATCAAGAACACAAGAAACTAATTATCAAGCAATTATTGAAAATCAGAAAGAATTTTTTAGCAACAATAAAAAGGCAAAAAGATCACTATCAGGGAATGCAATTTTACATGGAATCTTACGTGGACAACAGTTTAACTTCGATGAGATCTTACATTGATGAACAGAACAACAACATGCTAAATAGAATAGGTGATATGGAAGCTATTGTTGGTTGTTTACAGGAAGATATTTCTGACTTTAGTAGTTAAATTCGTGGCAAGAAGCAAAACCTGAACAAATTCAAATTGAAATATCCACAAAAGAGACGTATAATAGAAAGATAAAATCTTCAGATTTTCCTCTCTAGGACTATTCTATAGAGAGGTATTTATATATTCATCAATGGGTGGTGGTGAATAAATTGGGGTAAAGCCTAACTCTAACTTATTAGTTTCATTGTATTTATTTAACACTAATCTAAACTATGATGTACAGTACATATTGAGATCTTGGAGGCAATATGTATGAAAGAGACATGCTACACAATATATTTGAAGACAAAGATATCAGCATTGCGATTAGTAAAGCTCATAAATCATAATTAATTTCAATCTACATTTGACATATCTAATTTATATCTATTTATTGTATTAGACTATAGAGATGGAGTTAAAGTTGTTGAGGCGATTGATTAAAAAAGGCTGTACTCTCCTCTCTAAATAATATGCAATTTTGGACTCAAATTTTGAAAATGAATGCCTTCGCCAAATGATGTGACAAACAAGTTTAAATGAAGGAAGTTCTAGTGCACATGATCATCAGATGGATTTCACTGTGTTAGAAAAATACATAAATGGCAATTTGCCAGAGTGCGGTCGCCCATGGGCAGCATACAATTATTTATTAATTTCATGTTCATATCCTTGCGATTATAATTATTATCTTTTTGTTATTGATTTCCATTAGTGGAAATTTCAGATATATGATTGTAGTCATGACGTCCACACACTAGGAGAAATAAGGAAACAAGTAGATACAATATATGAAATACTTCAATTATTATTGACAAATTCGAAATTTTGTTCTAGCAGACCTAATTTAAGAAAACACAAAAACAAGCGGCTTAAATTGGAGATTATACACCACTTGCCTTGCGCAAATAATGGGTAAGTATTTAAAGAATTTAAATTGTTTATTATTTACTACTATATTGAATTTTCCTTTTAATTTCAATTTATATATTCATTATTAATTTAGTCTAACAAAAAAAATTTGTATGTAGGCTGAACTATAGACTTTTTGTCCTCAAATATATAGAATGTTTTGTTCTAAAATATCCATTAGAAATAGTTGATTTGGAGAGGATGAGCATATATAGACGAACGATTGTAGCTGACATTTGTTACAATGAATATTTTTTACAGCCCCGTACATCCTGATTATAATTGTGATGTAAAGGATAATTTAAATACACATGCTCAATGTTGAGAATGATGGCTATGTAATAAGTTAGTCTTTAATCAAATTGGAATTATTTTTTCTTCTTGCTTTTTTATTGATACATATATTGGTATCTAACTAGAAATATAAAGGTGAGTTTTAAGGTTACTGTTCATAAGCTGGGTAGGTTGGTGGGCTGCTCATTGGTTGGGTGAGTTTTAAATTAGTGGTTGTCTTAACTATGGTTGGCTTAACTATTGTGGTTGGCTTAACTATGGTTTTCTTGGGTGGGGAGCCAAATTATAGGTTGAGATATTTCATTATCGTTTCTAGAGTATTCCTCAGTTGAGAGAGGCTGTAGAGAGCAATATCGAGGGTTTGCTTGTCGTCGTTTCCGTTTGATAGAGGAAATCTGAGGGTTTTTTGAGCCAACTTATAGGTTGAGAGATGTGATTATCCTTTCTAGAATTTTCCCCGTTTGAGAGAGGCTGTAGAGAGCAGTATTGAGGGTTTTCTTCTCGTTGTTTACCGTCGTTGTTTGACAGAGGAAATTTGAGGGTTTTCTTTCCCTTACTCACGGGATGCGCTCCCCGTCTGAGAGAGGTTGTAGATCTAACTAGAGGGTTTTTTTCTCTTCGTTTACCTTTGTCATTACAGTGCTCAAGGTGCCTGTAAGTTTGGATTCTATGAATACTTCAAGAAGTACTATAATGACCTTGCAGGACCAGAAAACGCAGTCAAATACAAGACTCTGATCTATCTTGCTGGTTCTGCATCCGCTGAGGTCATTGCAGATATTGCGCTCTGCCCCTTTGAAGCTGTGAAGGTTCGTGTTCAGACACAGCCTGGTTTTGCTAGGGGGTTGTCTGATGGGCTTCCTAAGTTTGTGAAATCTGAAGGTGCTCTTAGGTATGTAAAACACAATTTTCTTTCATTCTAATATAATTTTGCCTGCCAAATGGAAATATATAGAGCTCATATTTTTCTCCCTGTTTGCAGGTTGTACAAGGGCCTAGTTCCTCTTTGGGGACGTCAAATTCCACGTAAGTTTATAGATGTGTGTGATGCAACTTTCTTCTTGTGTTTGACTTTTCAAATAAAATATATGCTGGGCATTGACTTTGTGCATTGTCATAGAAGCTCTCCTATACATCCGTTGGATACTGTATTTTAAAGTTGCTTCAACTTTTATAATCGGTATTGCATCAATTTTGTGTTTCAAATATATGATGGATGACAAGATGGTGCAAAGTACCAACGTACTGCTTGCTGAATCTTTGCCCAACACGATCTTTCCTTTAATGGGCTTTAGGATGATGTAGATGTCCATATTAATAAAACTAATATATGCAGATAATCAATACATGAGCCTTTTTTAATTGCATTGTTTGGTTGTTTATTGGTATGTTATTGCTTGATGCAGTCAGTGCTAATTAGTTGTTTCATTCATTCTTGCTTCTATGTTCATTTGCGGTTTCTTGTAAACATATTTTTTATTGCTAAATGCTTGGCCTTTATTACATACAGTGGGCTAAATTCCTTTGTTAAATGATCTTACATTCATGTCGATGTTCAGCCTGCTGATATTTTTACAATGGCTAATATATTATGATTTTTGAACTTTTTGCCATACCATATAGATTGCTGTGTGGAGTATTTTGATGTATGGTTCTGTAACGCCCCAATTTTTTTTTTTTTTTTGCATAAACACGGGAACGTTACGAAAACTCATTTTTCTTTAATTAAAAAAAATGCGGAACTATATAAAATTCTTCAATAAAAAAATAATTGTAACGTTTAAATTAAAATTATTGAAAGCGTATCTAACCATAAACATAAACTCCTAAGTAATTCAAATAATGCGTTCTAAATTAAAATAAACAAATTGCTAAATTTAAAATGGCAAACTTATTTCTTTTTCTCTATTCTTTATCCACTTGGCAGTCCGCATCACCAATTCTCCACTGTTCCAATCGACCCGAACTAATCTGAAAAATTAATGTAAGAGTGAGTATTAAAAATACCCAGTAAGATACGTGCAAATTTTCATACACAGGTATATAACAAATAAATAATACACTTCATACCGCTCTTCTCTTATGGAGTATATCGGTGACCAAGCGACACACCCATCTTAGGTCCTCTTAATTTTCATGTAGAAATTTCATATCTCTTTCTCTAGAACCCGAAGGTCCACTAGCATTCCATGCATATTTAATCGCATATAAGAGCATAAGGAAACGTAAACACTTTGCACATAAATGTATCTTACCTTGTTATCGAAATGTACACGAAAAATATTTGAATGCACGTTCCAAAATTCCTTCCTCTACTCTGTGAACGATTTATTGATCGACAGTGATAGTTGATGTATGACAAATTTCTGTTTTCACACACTCTTTCCTCTTTCTCTCTCTCTCTCTCTCTCTTTCTTTCTTCTCTCTCTTTCACGTGTGAGTATTTTTTGGTGTGGTAAAATATGAAATCCTTGCCTAGTATTTATAGGTATAGGCTAGAGTAGTAGATAAACCAAAACTTTGATTTGATAAAGTCAAATCCAATGTGGCACGTACCATAAAAAAATTGTACTTTATCATTATTTTATTTCATTTAAAAGAACTACCATTCCTATCCAATAAAAATGTGGTAGCCAATCAATCAAATTCAAAATGGGTTAAAACTATATAAAATTATATTTATCTTGTTTTCTTTCAATTGGGTATAACTTAATACGTTCTTATCCAAAATAACTTTTCTCGAGTCATAGACTTCTAATTAATTACGACCTTCGAAATGAGTCTAATATTGATATACATATCATTACTTTATCAAAATCCAATTATTTGACCCCAAATATATAATATATTAATATTTATTTCACCTTAATCCCTCACTTTCAAAATAATATAATAATTTATTTATTTTTTTAAAAAAAATTTCGGAATGTTACAGGTTCTCATCTTTATATGAGCTAACTGCTAGAGATTTTAAGCACATGATCTCTCCTTTGATTGGGATGAGGATGATGTGGACGCCAAACAACTTACTCGTGCGTATTTAATAGAAATATTTCCTATGGAAAATCAATGTTGAACCTTTTTTAACTGCTTCATTCCTTTGGTTTATTCTTTTACTTCACAGTACAACGGTGTTTAGGAACCTTATTCTCTGTAAAGGTGAGTCTTTTACTTCGATTTTTTCAGGTGTCAATTATTTTATATTTCTGTCGTGATTTTTCTTAAATATATAATGTTTTCTGCAAGTGCTGGTACTTCGACAGTGGATGAACACCGGTTCATAGGATATTTGCCGCAAAGGTTTGTAAAGCTTTTACTTTAAAAGACATTTTTTCGCAAGCCATTTATGGAGATACCACGAGATGCTTTTGGAGGGACGATTGAGGATTTTGTATTAAATAAATTGAAAGAATAGAGGCTACAATTTCGTTTTCCCCAAAATATTTAAAATTTGATGCTCTATAAAATATTTCTTTTTTTTCCATTTTCCTTCCTTTTCATTTTATTTCGATTTCTTTTGTAGGCTACTAAGACAAACATAATCAAATAATCTGAATGCGAATTCTGCTTGACCAAGTCACAGTTAAAATTCAAAATTGAGGAAGAATGAATGTGAATGAAGCCCTCTGCATTAGAAGAAGACTCAAGATCTAACGTCTGCAAATGCAGCTTCACTACTTCCGTACTTGGGTACTCTGTTTGTTAATTTCTTTGACTATTTCAATTGTTGGCTTCGTGTGTAATTATTGTATACTTTGATTTTGGTAATTCGTCGTATATCAGAATTGGGATCATTTGCATCTGGTTTCTTTTTCCTTTTGTCTTCTTTTTAATTAATTTCTAATCTGGTCATTTCACTAGCATCAAAAAGTTATTCTACAGCTTAGTGGAGAAATTCATGGCTTCTAAGTTTCTGTATGGCGATGCTTTATGCAATCACTGCAAAGGTTTAGTTTTTGTCAATATTTTAGGATATGGTAGGTGTTGTGTGATGAATGTGAAAGAATATGATCTATTAGCATCAGACACGGTAGTTGATTCCACAATCGTGGAAAGCATGAGTGGATCCATTAAAATGAAATTTTATAGAAATGATAAATCACATTATTTTAATGAAGTTTCTGTGAAATAATTCTAGGTATCCTTAGAAAAGTAGTTCTTTAACAAGAAGCATTAATGTAACAAGATTTTTTTTTCTATATATTCATAACACCTTTTAGTGTCTACATGATATTACTTTCTTAAATACATTCAGTGATCCTTGGTTCATAAGACTTCAAGAGTGTGGCTCGATGCTTAATTAACTCATCCTTTGTTAACAATCCATTATTCAGGATGATATCATTCTTGGAGCAAACACACGAGACACCTAAGGACCCATTGTTGTGAATAAGAATTGCGATAAAATTATATATTTTTGTGAATTTTAAATATGATTTATTTCCCCTTCTGGTGCTCTCGTATTTCGTCTCTTGGGAGTAATGGTGTGAAAATGATATTTTTTTTCACGAAAATAATAGAATGCCTTCGTTTGATTCCATATAGGACGCTGGGTTGGAGCAAGAAATTGAAAACTTGAAAAAGAAGTTGGCTACTGCACAAGAGAAAATAGAAATATTCAAAAAGAGTTATCAAAGGCTTATAATATTATATTAAAGTTAGATTTTGGATACAATCATTGAATTGAATTGTTTGTGTATATTCATCTGTTACTTAAATTGCTGTGATGAGAGAGTGATATTTTATTGCAGTTTCTTTTGTCGTCGCCATTTGTGAAAAGTGAGAAGAAAGAAAATGTGTAAAACATTTTGTGTGAATGTTTTAAGTAATATGTTATGTTTACTTATAGACATATTTGTTGAATGGTATGGATATTTGGTACAATAGTTGTTTATTTAATTTCTTTGTTCAGCCAACATGGTTTTCCTTAAGGTCAAGTCTTTCATAGTTCTAAAATGCAAATATTTGCCAAAGAATACTTCTATTAATATATTATTTGTAACTGCAGCACTAATTCTATGTTTTTTTGCCAAGTTTTCCAGCTCTTTAACCTCAGCCTTTTGTCAAGGGCTCAGTTGAAGAAAGACAGCAAAGTGAACAACTCTTGGAGGTTCATCCAGGTTGTCTTCTTTGTAATAGTGCATAGCTCCCTTGGTGAATTTTGAGTGACTAATACATTAAAAATATATGAGTACTTAACATTTAATTTTTCTTTTGTTTTGTGTGAATTTTAACTAATACTAAAAGTTTTAAAACTACAGTGACTAACATAGTGTTAATGTACAGCTTTATTTGTTTTTACATTATTGCATTCTTATTTTATTTCAGTTATACTTTTTACTTATTGATCTCAAGAAATAATTGAAAGAGAATAAATAACCTGTGTTAGATTTAGGTTAATTCTATAAACTAAATTTAACAACTATCTGGTGTTTAAGTTATTCTAATGAAATGCTTTTTTGAAATGATCTTTTTCAAACTTGTTACTTAATTTTTTTACACAGTTTAATTTATTGTTGATTTTTCAGTGATGGCTTTGAATACTATTCTTTTATTTACAATCAATTACTGAAGTGTTTGTGTATGTTCATCTGTTACTTAAATTGCTGTGATGAAAGATAATGATATTTTATTTCAGTTTATTTTTTTGTCACCATCTGTGAAAAATGAGAAGAAAGGAAATGTGTAAAACATTATGTGTGAATGTTTTAAATGATATGTTATATTTACTTATAGACATATTTATTGAATGGTATAGATATTTGGTGCAATAGTTGCTTATTTAATTTCTTTATGATATTTTATTTCAGTTTCTTTTGTTGTCGCCATCTGTCAAAAGTGAGAAGAAATAAAAATTGTAAAACATTATGTGTGAATGTTTTAAGTAATGTGTTATGTTTACTTATAGACATATTTGTTGAATGGTATGGATATTTGGTACAATAGTTGGTTATTTAATTTCCTTCTTCAGCCAACATGGTTTTCCTTAAGATCAAGTCTTTGATAGTTCTAAAATGCAAACATTTGCCAGAGAATACTTCTGTTAATATATTATTTGTAACTGCAGCATTAATTCTATGTTTTTTTGCCAAGTTTTCCAGCTCTTTAACCTCAGCCTTTTGTCAAGAACTCAGTTGAAGAAAGACATCGAAGTCAACAAGTCTTGGAAGTTCATCCAGGTTGTCTTCTTTGTAATAGTGCACAGCTCCCTTGGTGAATTTTGAATGACTAATACATTAAAAAGATATGATTAGTTAACATTTGACTCTTCTTTTGTTTTGTGTGAATTTTAACTAATGCTAAAAGGTTTAAAACTACAGTGACTAAGATAGTGTTAATGTACAGCTTTATTTATTTTTACATTATTGCATTCTTATTTTATTTCAGTTATACTTTTTACTTATTGATCTCAAGAAATAATTGAAAGAGAAAAAATAACCTGTTTTAAATTTATGTTAATTCTATAAACTAAATTTAACAACTATCTGGTATTTAAGTTATTCTAATGAAATGATTTTTTGAATTGATCTTTGTCAAACTTGTTACTTAATTTTTTTACATAGTTTAATTTCTTGTTGGTTTTTCAGTGATGGTTTTGAATATTATTCTTTTATTTACAATCAATTACTGAAGTGTTTGTGTATGTTCATTTGTTACTTAAATTGCTGTGATGAAAGATAATGATATTTTATTTCAGTTTCTTTTTTTGTCACCATCTGTGAAAAATGAGAAGAAAGGAAATGTGTAAAACATTATGTGTGAATGTTTTAAATGATACGTTATGTTTACTTATAGACATATTTGTTGAAATGGTAGGATATTTGGTGCAATAGTTGCTTATTTAATTTCCTTCATCAGCTAACATGGTTTTCCTTAGCGTGAAGTCTTTGATAGTTCTAAAATGCAAACATTTGACAGAGAATACTTCTTTTAATATATTATTTGTAACTGGAGCATTAATTCTATGTTTTTTTGCCAAGTTTTCTAGCTCTTTAACTTCAGCCTTTTGTCAGGGGCTCAGTTGAAGAAAGACAGTGAAATCAACAAGTCTTGGAAGTTCATCCAGATTGTCTTCTTTGTAATAGTGCACAGCTGCTTTGGTCAACTCCTGTAGGTTCTGTATAAGATTTAGTTTTCTCAGTTTCCTCTTTTTTTATTTATTTATAAAGTAAATCTATTTAGTCATTTGCAATCTGGTTTTGATTTATAAAGTGAATCCATTTAGAAATTTGCAATTTGGTAACATCTCAGATTTGGTTTCACAAACCCCACGGTAGCATAACATTGACATCAAAAAATTTGGCAACATCCTAAAAACATGTCTAAAATGTTAAAAACCACCGGGTATTATCATATTTTTCTTTTCATTCTTATTTTGATTACTAAATCAAATGATTGCACCAAATACAGAGAGTCTTCAAGCTATTGTAATGAAATGATTTTTTAAATTGATCTTTGTCAAACATGTATTTATTTCGAGTGTTTTTTTTATTTGGTTTTATGTATATTAAAATTCGTTTCATCATTTTCTATGATATTGAACTTTGTTTATTTATATTGAATATACAAAAGGAATGTATATTTTGATTGTAGGTAGAAAAATGGCTTCAGTGTCTAAGAAAAATAAAAGGCGAAGAGAATTTTGCAACGACAATGTAAACTTCGATATCAACGTACAGATGCCAAAAAGAAAATCTTTACGTTTTGTTCAATTAGAAGGTATTCACAATTAACTACAATTGATGTATTAGGTTTTATATTTTGTCTGCGTCTAACATTTGAAATGATTTTACAAATTAAAAACTTTGTAGCTTCTGGTGTTACCAATTCAAATTCAATTACCCACTTCTCTAATTCTGAAATGGGAGGTGATCAAACAGGTAATAAAATATTTAACTTATTTATATTAATTACATATTTTTTCCAATAGTGAAAAGATCATGTATTCTTTAAATAAATGAATATGATTACTTTGTCATGTTTCATTTATGTTATGCATAATTATGCTGGAAATGTTTTCATATTTAGCCATTTTTGTTGTAATAATGTTTCTAACATTGATGTTGGATCAAATAAGTTTTTTTGGTATATTTGTTTTTTCAAAAATTGAATTTATAACCATGTTTTATATTTTTTTAAACAAATATGTCTCGCTTAGATTCTAATGTAGTTTCAATCATAGGTAGTTGTTCTGCAACTTATACCCATGAACTTGGTGTTCACTCAGAGCTAATACCATCAATGTTTACAATAAATGAAGGTTTGTTTTCGATACCAAACAAATCACATGTATTACCTTGCCCTGTGTTATGTGAATACTGTGGGGCTCTAAAATTTAAAGATGAACCAAAAGGTTTTTGTTGTAGTGATGGAGTTGTTAGATTGAAAGCGAATGATACTCCTGATGAATTACATCATCTATTTACATCAAATACTGTTGAATCCATTGAGTTTAAAACTTACGTACGAACTTACAATAACAATTTCTCATTTACTTCATTTGGTGTGCATTATGATAAAAATTTGTGCAAAAGAAACAAAGGAATTTATACTTTTAGAATTCAAGGTCAAATATATCATTTCATAAATGATACTCTTGTACAAAACGATCGCCCTTCTTATATGTAGCTCTATTCTTTTGATACTGAAAATGATATAGAGCATCGACTACAACTTTCTGATAAGTTAACAAAGTGTATACTTTCAAAGCTTGTGAAACTAATGGAATTGAATCCGTACGCAATTTTCTTTCGAACTTTAACAAATATTCCAGATTTGAAATCTCATTGTCTAAAAATTAGATCTGATTGTGGATTACATCAAAGAGTATATAATACACCATGTGCATCTCAAGTTGCTGCTCTTTGGGTTGATAATGATTCTTCTACTAATGAACGAGTGAGTGATATAATTATTTCTTGTAATTCTGGAGAAAAACATCAAATACATTATTATTTTGGCTGTTATGATCCTCTTCAATACCCTTTATTATTTCCTTTTGGTGAAACTGGTTGGCACCAAGGTATTGTTAGGATTGACAAACGCAAAAGACAACAAATATGTGCAAACGAAAACTTATTTGACTTTCATGAGTTACATTCTGCTCCAAAAATTTTTACGGTAGAAAATACAGGTGAATAATTTAGTTATGCATAGTATATTTCTTTTAGAAATGTTTAAAATTTCATATTGTGAGACATTTTCTTCTTCTATGCTTTCTCCAGTGGTTCAAAAAAAGACAACAAGAGCTCAAGTATCATGTAAAGAATACTATTGTTACAAATTACAGGTTAGACCTTCACATAAATCAATTTTACTTCATGCTGGACGTTTGTTACAACAATATGTTGTAGATATTATGTAAAAATAGAAACGTCTAGATTAGATTATTTTCGTAATAATCAAAACGAAATACGCGCTGAGCTTTACCAAGGGATTACAGATTGTGTTAAGTCCGGTGAAACTAGAGCAGTTATGACTGGTAAAAGAATTGTTCTGCCATCGTCTTTTATTGGTGGTCCAAGGGACATGAACAAAAGATATATGGATGGAATGACATTGGATAGAATGACATTAGTTCAAAAATTTGGTAAATCTGATATTTTCTTGACTATTACTTATAATCCAAATTGGCCTGAAATAGAAGACCAATTAAGGTATAATGACGAATCATAAAATAGAACTGAACTTTTAACTCGAATCTTTAGAGCTAAGTTAGAAGAACTAAAAATTGATATATTCAAAAATAAAATTTTTGGTTCTACAGCTGCATATATATATGTCATAGAATTCCAAAAAAGAGGTTTACCACATGCTCATTTTTTAATCATTTTAGAACATGCATCTAAAATCATTACTCCTGAATCTATAGATAAATTTGTTAGTGCTGAGATTCCAGACGAACAAATTTATCCTCATTTATACTCATCTGTTGTTGCTCACATGATACATGGTCCTTGTGGCATTTTAAGTCCAACAAACATATGCATGAATAAAAATAAACAATGTAGAAGTCATTTCCCAAAGGATTATACCCCAAAAACGTTGTTAGGCGAATTTTCATACCCAAAGTATAGACGTTTAAATAATGGGAAAACAGTCAAAGTTAGAGGACAATGGTTAGATAACAGATGGATTGTACCTTACAATCCGTATCTGTTGGCTAAATTTAATTGTCATATAAATGTTGAAATTTGTTCAACCATCAAAGCTGTGAAATATTTGTATAAATATGTATACAAGGGACATGATAAAATTGGTTTTTCTATGCATTCTGAGGAACATGTGCTTGATGAGATTAAAAATTTCCAAACAACTAGATGGATTTCTCCTCCTAAAGCATTATGGAGAATTTTTGGTTTCATTCTTTCAAAAATAAATCCTCCAGTTGTTACTCTTCAATTACATCTCGAACATAATAATTTTATTACATACAAAAGTTCTGAAAATCTTGAGAAGATTGTAAATACTGACTTTTTCAAAAAAACTATGTTAACAGAATTTTTCCATATGAATCTTGTTGATAAAAAGGCCATGACTCTTTTATATAAACAATTTCCAGAATTTTTTGTTTGGGACTCCCATAGTAAGTGTTGGAGCCATAGAAAACAAGGTGTTTGTATCGGTAGAGTAGTTACAGCAAATTCAAATGAAGGGGAAAGATATTACCTGCGTCTTTTGTTAAATCATATTAGAGGTGCAACATCATATCGTGCTTTAAAAACTGTAAATGGTGTTGAAACATCATCTTTTCGAGAAGCAGCGCTTTTACATGGTTTGCTTAGTGACGATGCTAATTGTTATTTATGTTTGCATGAAGCTTCAGAGTATCAAATGCCTACTCCATTTTGTCGTCTTTTTGCAACAATTCTAACCTTGTGTGCTCCGAATGATCCGAAAAATCTATGGAACAAATTCAAAATTTTTATGGTTGAGGTTTTTATACATGCTGGTATGTCATCAAAAGTTGCTGAACTTAAAGCTCTTTTAGAAATTAATGCAACTTTAGAACTTTCTTGTAAATCCATTAATAGTTATGGTTTCGTATCGCATAATGTACATTTACATGAAAATGAACTTGTTGCTAGAGTAATAAATGATGAACTAAGCATTAACGTGTCAGAACTAGATATTATGTCTCCCCAGCAACTTAATACTAAACAAAAAATAGCGTATGATATAATCCTAACGAAAGTAGATACTAATGTTAGCGGCATGTTCTTTGTTGACGGTCCTGGTGGAACGGGTAAAACTTTTTTATATCGTGCATTATTAGGTAATGTGAGGTCAAGACAAATGATTGCTTTAGCAACAGCATCTTCTGGTGTTGCATCTGGTCTTTTGCTTGGTGGACAAACAACACTTTCTAAATTTAAAATACCTCTAGAAATTTGTAGTGACACAATATGTAACATTAGTAAACAGAGTGCTCTTGCAGAACTTTTTCGAATGACAAAACTAATCATATGGGATGAAGCTCCAATGGTGAGTCGATATGTTGTTGAAGCATTAGATAAAATGTTAAGGGATGTTAATAATTGTGAATTCCCCTTCGAAGGTAAAGTAGTTGTCTTAGGAGGAGATTTTCGTCAAGTTCTACCTGTTGTTCAAAGAGGTAGTAAGGATGTTGTAATAGGAGTAAGTCTTGTGAACTCTTATTTATGGCCTTTATTTACAAAACTAAGATTAAAGGAAAACATGAGAGCGCGATTAGATACACCCTTTTCTAAATATTTACTTGATATTGGAGACGGAATTATAGAAAAACATTCATGTAACATGATACAACTTCCAGTGGACATAACTATAGATTTCGAAGAAGACATCACTTCTTTACAATCATTAATAGATATAGTTTACCCAAATTTAAATAATTATGTTGACAATCTTGATTACATGGTTAATAGAGTTATTTTAACTCCGAAGAATGAGTATGTTGATGAAATTAATAATTTGTTGATTCGTCATTTCCCTGGAAATTCTTTTACTTATTTTAGTTTTGATGAAGCTATTGATGCAACTAAGTAGAGTATGCAATAAGACTTTTTCAATAGTTTAACTCCGAATGGTGTACCGCCGCATGAACTAATACTAAAACCAAATTGTCCTGTTATGTTACTTAGAAATATTAATCCTTCAGAAGGTCTTTGTAATGGAACTAGACTTATTTGTAAGAGTTTTCGAAGAAATATTATAGATGCTGAAATTGCAATTGGAGATTATAAAGGAAAAAAGGTTTTCCTTCCTCGAATTCCTTTCATTCCACTTCAAAGTGACAAGAATCCTTTCCCTTTCAAAAGAACACAATTTCCAATTCGTCCATGTTTTGCAATGACAATTAATAAATCTCAGGGACAAACACTTGATTTTGTTGGTTTATATCTTCCTGAGCCAGTATTTTCTCACAGTCAATTATATGTCGCTTTGTCTCGAGCCAAAAATAGAAATTGTATTAAAGTTCTTATCAAACCAATAACAGCCCAAAAATTACATACAAAATGTACTAAAAATGTTGTTTACAATGAAATTTTAGCAATGGTAAATACATAAAATCATATTTTCATTTACATTTGCCAATAATCATTACAAAACATATTCAAGAAGTGTGTGCCTCCATTTTTTATTGTAAGTTTACTTTCAACAAAAAAAGACTTCCTTAGTATTCTATTAGCTAACCAAAACAATTGATGCAAGGTTAAATTTTTCTATTCAATTTTCTTATTTATTTATCCTCACTTTTTAGGTTTTTTTTTTCCTTCTTTTTGTATGTGTCTGAAATTGTTCATTTTATCTATACAGAGCAAGTATCAGCATTATGAGTCAATTTTGACAAACAAAGGTCTACCAATCAAAGCTAGAAGAGAATTATGGTACAATTATCTCACTTCACTTTGCTGTCATCATTTTGCATTATTTCTGGTTCATAAAGAAATAAAACTAAGCTCCATAATTGTTCATTTTTCAATCTCGAAATATCTTCTAATGTTTGGAGAATATAAAACCTGTTAGTGTCCTGTAAAATGTTCAAAGTAACTATCTTATTTCACTAATATTCTAGCCTACCACCAATAGATAGCTTGTCTATCGCTGCATAAAAAGGAAACTGCAATGTTCTTGTTTTGTTCTATGTATCAGTGTATACTATCTTCAGTTCTGTGCCTGCAACACTTAGAAATAATGTCTGCAACACAAATCTTGGTCCTATCAACTTGCTATTTTCTTGATAGTCAATAAAGAAATAAATACTTCATCTACTAAAGCTTAGCTTGAGAAGATGAAAATTCTGTTTATTAGAAAGGGATCTGGATTTCCTTCACAGCCACTGTATCAAATTTTGTAATTAGTAAACCCAAGCTCTAATTTAGACAGCCCCATTTCTTGCAGATTCTTATAAAAGCTAAGGATATAGATTTTAATTGGTTAAGTCATTTTTATTTTATAAAAGCAATAGCTTGATGAGTTAGTTTTTTTTTTGCTCTTTGTGTGAATTGTAGGTGTCATTTTTTCTTCGGATACTGCCAATATGCGTGACTAGGATATACTAAGCAAATTCCTTTTAAAGTTCAACACTGGAATATTTTGATGAGTTAAGTTACTTGATTTTATAAAAGCAAGAGCTTCATGAATTAATTGTTTTTTTTTTCTTTGTGTAAATTGCAGGTGTCATTTTTTCTTGGGATGGTGCTAATACGCAAGGCTTGGATGTAAAGTATTTGAACCACAGAAAAATTTCTCATTGAAACTGTGAGTCAGAAAAGCTATCTAGATCTTTGATTAAATTTGAACCTAAATTGATGAAGTAATTAAGACAACGTGTAGAAAATTATGTGTGAAAATGTTTTAAGTGATATATTATGTTTGCTTATAGACACATTCATTGAACAGTACTGTAGGTGCCGAATAACTTTTTAAATTTTTTTTTTTTTTGAGTTTATGGGACATATAGAGATTTTTTTTTTCATTTAATGAGTGTGCACTCTTGTGTGAGTTCTAACTAAAGCCAAAAGGCTCAAAACTATAGCAACGTCCAGTATGTTAATGTACAGTTCTTTGTGTTTTTGTCCAATTAATTGCGATTTTGTTACATTAGTAATACACCTCAAATCCAAATAAATATTTATGCCAAACTTAGAAAGTGTAGAAAGTCGAGTCATAATTCTTGCTTGTTCAAATGGATGAAACCATATATTTTGCCTCACTACAAACATCATATGTTGTGTTTTTTTAATTGGAGTTATTTTAGTTTCCTGATTTATATGATTGTAAATTATTTTTCATATTTTTCTTGTAAAAGTCACAACCTAATTTTGACTGAAACATTGAAAGCTGTCATTTTCAATGTTCATATTTTTCAAGGTACTTAAGATTCAATGGAAACTTTCTCATCAGATGTGTTAACTCTATATTTGCATGAATTCACTCCATGTTTATTATAGCAATTAATTAGAAGCTGCACTAAGTTGAACCCTTGATCGTGAAATATCGAATGCTTGTTGACCCAAGTTGAACTCTTTTGCAGTCTGTAATGAAAGGACACACCATCCTTTTGGGTCAATACCTCTTTACTGGGACTAAGACCACTTCTGTTTGGTAGAAGGTATGAATCAGATGAAGTAAAAGGTGCCGATGTGCTTTGTGTGGTAGGTAAAGAATTCCTCAACCTTTTTCAGGTCATTATTTACCACTCATGCTTCTCAAATACATATTCAACTGCTCACTCTATCTGATAAGGACAAGTAAGGAAGCAAGTTGTAGCAAGATTTGCTTCTTTCTAGATGTCAATATGATCTGTTAACTCAATGTATTAGTTTGGAATATTTTTTTAGAGATAATTGATGGATTGGCTATGTATATGTTTTAGTCTCTCTAAACTAGGCATTAAATTTCGCACTCGCTTTTATATTTGCCTTTAATAGATACACTTTTAACTTTGCTGTATTTCAATTTTACTATAGATTATTAGCACATGGAGTGTTCAGTATAAAATTGATTTTCTTTCATTGTCATATGCGTAGCATTTAAAAAATGTTTGTAAGGTAAATATGGAAAAGAAAAAGAATACTTCTTTATTCTTCTATATTTTCTCTGTGCTATAAATTAATAGTTAGAGTGCAAACATTCATGATTTCCAGTTTTCTTGTTTTTCACTTCCAATAAAAAATGTCAAAGTCAAGGTCAAACCAATATTGAATAAAAATGGTTCACACCTGTTACACTAGCCTTCTGAAGGATTTGGTTAAAGTTGAAGAAATTAAAAGAGTTGTATCTTCTGGAGTCGTGACTCAATGCTTGGTTCCCGCCAGAATTAATGATCAGTATCTGACTAATCTTCTTTTGAACCCCAAGACTTTTTAGTCTTTCAACCAACTAATTGAACTTTTTAAATATGTATGAAGTATTAACAGCTTTTTTGAATGAAAGAAAAAAAATAGATAAATGCTTCATCTACTAAAGCTTAGCTTGAGAAGATGAAATTTGTGTTTATTAGAAAGGAATCTGGATTTTCTTCTATTAGTGTATTATGTACTTAACTTGTAATTTTTTTTTAAACTTCAATGCCACAATATTTTTGTGAATTAAGCCATTTTATTTTATAAAACGAAAAACTACTGCAAAAATGCAGGTAAAGGACTTCCTTTGGCATTCGTATCTCTTAGCATATTAATTGCATTTAATTGAATACATGTTCATTTTCTATTTTCACTGGTTTTGAACCCCAAGTCTATGACAAAGCTACTAGAAGTCATTGATCCGAGATTGTTTGTTGTTCTCTTCCTTTTCTGTTTAATGTGATTTTTTATCATGGCTAGATCTAATGCTCGGTTGTTCTACCCTTAGTCAATTGCTCAACTTCTTAGGTAGATCATGCACTTGTGCTGTTGATGGAACTTACCTGAACTCCAATCAGGGTCCATGGAACGATCCTAAAATAATGAAGGTATACATGTTTCTAAGAGTGACTCATCTGTTTCTAATTTCTTCATTATGTAACACTTAGGCTATCCATTGTCACTAAAATATAAAATTTCTCTCAATTTGTAGGTTGTGTATAATGCAGAAACAACTCTCGTTATATTTAGCTGCATCCACCTAAGGTACTAATTTTTGACTTTGATATACATTAAATTTTTATATTCTGTAAATTTAACATTTTTTTCCACATATCATACTATCAGAGAAAAGCAAATGATGCATTGACAGTTGAAACAAGGTCAGATGTCAATCCTTGCTCTCTAAGTACAAAAAATTATCTCTACGTGTACATTATTGGCTCTTATTGTTGACTAAATAAGTTTGATTTCATTCTTCATATGGCCTATTACTAAGTACTGTTTGATCCTTCTCCACTTAGATTCCACTTTACCAATAAAACTAAGCTCCATGATTGTTCATTTTTCAATATTGAAATATCTTCTAATATTTATTAATTATCAAGTCAATTTAACTGCTTCCATAACTTCAGCAGTCGGTCCTTGTGGCATTCTGTCTCAGAAAATCATCTCGTCTCATTTTTTGAACTTTAAGCTATTCCTAAATAATGCATTTCACTTGTTATTACTGCACTTATCACTAGCACATCTCATTGTCTAAACATGTGACACCTATAACTTTCATTTAACCATAAACATTACTCACTGACCTGAAAAACTTACTGCTCCAACAACAAAACACCTGTCACATGCAAAAAACCACATGTCCTACCTGACAACCCACTACCTCCATTTATTTCCTTCATGCCCTTGCTTGTCACAGTAAAAAAAGTTTCTGCCTGCCACTAAGAACATTCCATTCTCTATTTAAATTAAAAATTCATCCTTCAGACATTGTAAACCTTTGATCAGTCTTTCCCACCACCATCTAATCTCTTAGCGTGTATACAAGGTACCACAAAACCTTCAAATATTTTCTCCTTTCCAGTTTCAGTTTTCCACCTTTAACTTCACCATTGTACTTCTCTTTCTTACATTCAACACAATCCATTTAATGGAAATATTTTGCAAACCATCATTCCACATATCTTCCAATTGTTGCATTTCATTCTAACACTTTCACTTCTAACAATTATTAGCTACTAATCAGGTTCAATTCTTTGCAGATGGAGATGCCCACAGAATACAAGCTAATACCTGACATAAAACCTGGAGACTCCAGCTGGACAGTAAAGGCAATAGTTTCAGAAAAATGTTCTCCAACCAAAGCTCGAAACAGCCAATTAAAATACCAACACATTTGGTTAATGGATCCTAAGGTAACTCTTGTCATATAATTTAAATTTATTTCTTCCAAACTATATGCTGTGGTTTTCCAACCTCCTTTATATAGAATATACATTTCAATCTCAAAGCAATTACATGAATAGAACATTGGTTCATCATTACTTAAGTAAACTTAATACCATTAAATTTTAATTTTCAAAACTGAAGCTAAATATTCAAATATTTTTATTATTTTTTCACCAACTTTTAATGCACAAGAGGATCACTTTTAACTTAGTTTCTCTCACATAATCATAATGAATAAATTCATTTACAGAATTCATAACAAAATTTAAATTTGACTTCACAAAATCAATGATGTTCAGACCTATTTTAATTCTTTATTTCTTACTGATTGACATTATACTGTTCCATAGTTTTTTGATCACATACAAGAAATTAAACATTAACATATGATCTTATTCAAGACTTTTTAGTTTTATCAATTATTGAAATGGGATCAGAATATAAGATTCAATTTCTTGTTTATCTACATTTTTTGGTTGTCTTTTATTCATCGCTAGCAACAGGATAATCCTACAGTTTTATTTTTGTCTTTACCTCAATCATTATTTCAACTTTTGATTTTTGTGTACGTTGAGAATATGACGATTACAATACCTGAAGTAAATACTTTTTGCAAATAATCTGACGTCATGTACTTTCTTGCACATGTCCATATCTATTTATTGATGATAATTTCCTTGCACATGTCCATATCTATTTCTCTTATTTGATACTTGGTTCACAAGTTGATTGAAAGACTTTCAAATTTTGCACCAACATTCAGACCCATTTCAATTCTTCATTTTTTACTGATTGACATTATACTGTTCCATTTTTTTTTGATCACATACAAGAAATTAAACATTCACATATGATCTTATTGAAGACTTTTTAGTTTTATCAATTATTGAAGTGGGATCAGAATATAAGATTCAATTTCTTGTTTATCTACATTTTTTGGTTGTCTTTTATTCATCGCTAGCAACAAGATAATCCTACACTTTCATTTTTGTCTTTACCTCAATCATTATTTCAACTTTTGATTTTTGTGTACGTTGAGAATATGACGATTACAATACCTGAAGTAAATACTTTTTGCAAATAATCTGACGTCATGTACTTTCTTGCACATGTCCATATCTATTTATTGATGATAATTTTCTTGCACATGTTCATATCTATTTCTCTTTTTTGATACTTGGTTCACAAGTTGATTGAAAGACTTTCAAATTTTGCACCAACATAGAACCACATGTTGAAATTCAATTAGGTACATACAAACTACTTTATAAGCATAAACTTATCATATTAGTATTTAAACTCTACTTATAGTTCCCAAGTAGTTATTCCTTTATTGATTTCAAAAAAACTCTTACTCAATGTTTGAATATTCATATTTATTAATTTTGAATCCTACAATGCTAGAAAAAGTTTAATCCTATCATATTAATTGATTGTAACAAAAAACAGATTAGTCCATAATCAATTGAATATTTTTGAGTATTTAAAATATATACAATAACTAAACTATAAACATTTTAAATTACTCTAATAAATTTATTCCAACATCTTCCTATATTCATTTTAGCAACCAATCACCATTCAAATTAAACCTACATTATTCCCTTCCCTTAAAATTACCATATATCCAACTTTCTAAAATACACTTTTAACTTAATTTTTATATAGGGAAACAAAGTTCAAGCCACGTTGTTTGATAGCTCCATCACAGCTTTCGAGGATACCTTACTACCACACAAAACATACCTCATCTCAAATGCACAAGTTAAACAAACAGATACAAACTGCAGAGCTCAGCTTGGTGACATTAGATGGACAATCAACGCAAAAACTAACGTTGTTGAAGTGAACGAACAATTTAACTCTCTCCTTTCATCAACTCACAACTTCATATCATTTGAAAATCTTCAGCCCTACATGGATACAAATGCAGAAATCAGTAAGTGTTTCCAATCCAATTCAACACCATACACTTCATTACTTTTATCTTAAACACAAATTAAAACCTACGCTCATTACTAACCACTATTTCTTTTAGGCATTATTGGAATAGCAATTGACATCTTCCCTAAAAGAGTAATTCAAATCCGTGACAACCAATCAACAGTACAAGATGTCATTCTCATGAACAACAGGTACAACATTTACCTTGATCACACACTTACTATTACCAACCCCAAAATAACACTTTTAATTATTAAGCATATTAAATACAATTCGAAACTTTACAGGTTTGAAACACGCATGCTTCAAATGTGGGACATTTTTGTCACAAATGAATGTAATACCATCCAAAATACAATCACCAAAAAACCCATTATTGCAGGCAACAGATTAAGGGTAACTTCATTCAACGGTAAATTAAAAACTCCTTACACACAATCAAATTAATACATACAAATTTAAACCTTGTACACTAAATCTAAATTTACTCTTTGTTTAGGTATATCTGTCTCAACAAAGTTCAGCTCATCAACACTCATTAATCCCCCATACGAGCAAGTTCTTGAACTAAAACACTGGTACATTTTCTCAATTTTCCATTTACATTCTTACATCTATTGTCATTATTACTCTGAATTTCCTTATATACTTTTACAAAATTTATACTAACATCAATACCAGGCTACAGGACAACATCAACACAATAAATGACATCATAACCCAAAAATCTTACATCTTTCCCACATCTACCACAATTTCTTACCCACCAGAAGAAAAGTTAGTCAACATCAGACAGCTACAACAACTCCAACATATGGTACACCAAATCACCACACCTTAGTACTTACATTTTACATCTATTTTATCTTATATTTTTTTTTACAAGTTATTGTACACATTGCAGCAACGACACTTCTGGACAAGAGCAAATGTCACATTAGCTGAAATAGACCAACCACTGTGGTATCTGTCATGTCACAATTGCAACAAATCTGCAAGTGCAACTGTAAACGAAACTTATTCATGTAGATTTTGCAAGCACAGCTCCGCTACACCAACTCCAAGGTTAGATTATAATTATCTCACAAATACATTATCTATTTCATTACATTCATTATTTAACTTCTAATAGTAATCAAATACATCCCAAAACACTAACAATGATTCCACCTACACTCTAACAGAGCAAGAGCAATCGTTCAGTTACAGGACTCCACAGGGTCAATCATAGCATCAATTATTGGAAAACCAGCTGAAACATTCTTGAAATGTTCAGCAACTGAACTGATGAAACAAAGCTCTGAGGTAACCATTTCAAAATTACATTTTCCTGCCTATTACTTTTTTCCCCTCAAACAAATGTATTATTAACTACTTCCAATAAACATCCCAACAGGAACATACGAAGATCAGCTCCATAGTTCCAACAAATACTGCACATGACAACATCGTATTCATCAAAGCTGTAAATATGGAGGCAACCATCAACAAAACACCATACGAAATCATCTTTATCCTTGAACCACACCCGAAAGATGACAACCACTTACCTACCAACATCACACAACCAAGCAATTCACATGAAGCATACAAACATGCAGACAAAAAACAAAAGCAAGAGTAGTTGTTGAAGACCTAAAAATACATATTTTGTATCCCTAAAGCACACCTATGTCTACAATTAAAGAAACCTAATTCCCAGCATCTCTATTTGCCATGCTAAATTTTGTTCATTGTGTATATGAACATGTTGAAAACTATGTACTCAAGTAAGGCATGTAACACCTCTATGTATGGCACCTAAAAACACTATTTTGTATTTCATATTACTATTGTCAATGTATCTACTCCTAAACATATATTTCATATAATCTTCTCTCTTGTTAAAATATCACAGCCAAATTTCAACTTCATTATATACACTATATCACACATTGCACGTGCGAAGCACGGCCCACCACTAGTAATATAAAAAGAAAGAGTAATTATATGGTGAGGAACAATAGAAAAAGTAGAATACTCTTTGATTAGTATTTTGTAGGTATAGACACATATTTTGACGATTAATTCTCATTAAACTCTTATTTTTGTTGCTAGAAAGATCAAAAATTCCATAATCTTGTCTTTGGAATTCAAGATTAATGTTGTTTCGAATAAAGTAAATAAAAGACTGAAAATAGAAATGACTTCATTAGTGTTGTTGACATTTGTAAAATTACAAAGCAAATAACTAAAGAAAGCATAAATGATGTAAGTATCAGCCTACATACATCATTTGTCAACAAAAATGTGCTTAGCACTTTCCAAATAAAATTACACTAACAAACAAAACAAAAGCCAAGACTAATTCCACATAAAAAATAGCAAAATAATATTTCAATTATTATTCAATCCATCTTTCGTTTTGGAACCAAAAAATTTGTGCCAAACACATCCGAACTGCTTTTTTCATCACACGAAACATTCGAATTTGAACCTTCATTCGGAGGTGACAAATTCTCTTTATTAGAGTCTAGAGAGTGTGAGTAGATACTTTTCCCGCGTACTGTACATATACTTTTAACATCAACATTTGCTTTGCTTTTTTCTCCTAGATTTGTCTGGTTCAAATCTGTCACAGTGACGATGTCAAATCTGTAGTTGATGAATTAGGCTCAGTTTGGAATGTTTTTAGGTAGAATGCTCATTGAGTATTCTGCATTTTTTTAATGACACATTCAAAGTATGTTTGTGAATCATGTATGTTAATGATGGATTCAATTAATATTGCTTGAGCAACATGTCTTAGCGCGGTAAAATGTTGAAGTTACATTAAAATTCTTATGGAATTGGTTTGCTCCATTAAAGAATGTGCATTTGTAATTAACAGTTTCTCGGCTACTTCACCTTGCACTAAGTGAGCATGTGACATCTGACGACTGCACATATGCTCGATCCGTAAAATGTATTTGGTACACACTGAACAAATGATCAAGACAATTAAAGAAGGTATGTATATCCATATAATAAAGTAAAATATACCGAGGAATAGCTTTTGAGTTTGGATTTTTGCAAAAAATACAGAGATAAGTTTCTCAAAAATCAGCATTTGAACGTCTATAACAGTTATTGCAAGTCATGTACCAAGATTTTTTTTATCAATTTTACTTGTAATTGCTATGCCATTTACCCAATAGAACTTCCGTTGTGTCAAAAGCAAAAACAGAGGAGAAATAAGGAATATGTATGTGCAATTTTTTATATGTATATAAAACTTGCCAATAAATACCATTACCGCTAAGAGGCGTCCCTGAAGATTCTGAATAAGAGTGAATTTACTTTGCATAGGTGGAGAAAGATTTGTGGGGCTTCTTTCCATGTATGATTTTTTTAATACCAAATCATCTATTTTGATTGAATTTTCTTTGACCCTTAGTAAATAAAGTATTAAATAAGGTTAAATAAGCTCAAGACATTTAGAATAAAATTAGTAATACGTGGATAGTGGATAGAGATGCGAGATCAGGAAAAAAGAATAATAAAATAAAATCAATTTCTTCAACATACCATTCTGTCATTTCTTTTATTTCGATGAAAGGTATATTTATAAACAACGTACGACGAACTTTTGTGGATAATTTCAAACCTGTATATATGTGCAAAGTATCGCATATATGATGTATGCTGATGTGATATCATGTAAAACACACCAGCAACTAAACACATACCAAAGAAAGACATAACTCTGAGATATGTTGTAAAGATGACTGGTTTCTTCTTAATATTCTCCGATAATATTCTTCTTAAACATCAACGAATTACCAAATCAATCAAAAAAAAAAATTATTAGAGATTATCGAAAGAATGCTAGAAAACCCAAAATCCAACAAATTGAAACATGAGAAAAGAAATAGAAAATGAACTTGTATGCAGATAGAAATTGGAGGAAGAAGGCAGAGATAGTCTCTCTCTCTCTCTCTCTCTCTCCCCCTCCCCTCTCTGCGTATAATATTTGGGCATTTTGTGACTTTTCCATCAAAAGTAGACGGACATCAAACCATCGCCGTGTCTAAGTATTGATGGGCATACCTTGAAGAGCAATTGAAGAAGAACACAAATAATTCAAATCAATGTAAACAATTATTTCGTAAAAATGCAGAAAAACATCAACGAATTACCAGATCAATTGAAAAAAATAAGTACTTTATTAGAGATTATCAAGACAATGCTAGAAAACCCAAAATCCAACGAATTGAAACATGAGAAAAGAATCGGAAAATGAACCTGTATGCAGACAGAAATTGGAGGAAGAATGTAGAGATATTCTCGCTCTCTCTCTCTCTCCCCGCCTCTCTCGCTGCGTATAATATTTGGGTATTTTGTGACTTTTCCATCAAAAGTAGATGAACATCAAACCGTCGCCGCACCTAAGCATTGATGGGCATACCATGAAGAACGATTGAAGAAGAACACAAAATCTGTATTTGTAATTTTTTACGAGACAGTAGACACTGCATCAATTGAAGAATTTGAATTAGGTTTGGTCAATTGAAGCGGCAAAGAAAGGGAATGAATAGTTTTGGGGGGAAATATTTTGGACGCAAAGAGGAATTAGGTTTGAAAATTTTTTTCCTTAATTATTAGCCTACAAACCTGTCTAATATTTTGTTGGGAAAAAGATATATTTTTCCCGTCAAATTTTTTGTCTGGAAAAATACAATTTTTTGTGGGCACGAGTTCCTTTAATATTGCAAATTTTGAATGAAATCATAACCCTACGAAACATTTTTTTGTGGGGAAAAGTGAACTCCGCAGACAAATTGAGACAAATCTCAATTTCTCAATTTGTCTACGTAAATTTGGCAGGAAAAGCATATATTTCTTGTAGTGCTAGCAACTCAAATAACAAGGAAAGAGCTCGCAAATTATTGCGGTACCTTAGTAAATCTACGACTCAAAGTTACACTTTTTGAACGAGTTGACAAATTAAACATATATGTTGATGAAATGTATAGTTCAAAAGTTACGGTATCAAGAAAATGTGTGTTGAAAATTAATTATTGATTTAGATTTAGATTTAGATTAAAATTAAAATTTTAGTTTCTACCAAACAGCCGCTAAGCGGACTTCATTAATGTCTATATTTGTCACTTTAGTGCTTGGTTGGTAGTGGTTATAAATTGTGGATATGAGTGAGTAATGAGTGTGGGTCTTACAAGATGTGTGGATAAAAAATATGTTTAACAATTCAGTTTGGTTTAGTTAAAAATCAGTTTTTTAAGTAGATTTTGATAACAATTAATGACGTGTGGTTTAAAAGGGAAAGTTATAGACCTTATGAAATATGTGATTGAAAATAAGTTTGATGAAAAAGTTCTAAAAAATGGAGGATGAGACGGGAGCATAATTTAAACTTCACCGAACATGTTTGACACGAAAGATTAACACGAGTAGAATGTTTAACTCACAAAACATAGTTATTATATATCGATGATTACTGATAAATATGGATTACATCACAATTACATACACCAATTCTCTCCACAAATCGATAAATATAACACAAAAACAAGGACTTTCTATTGACTACAATCCACTTCAGCTGGCAATAACTAAACCGATCGCATAACAGAAATCTTGATCAACGATGCTTTTTCATTCCCTGTAACAGAAAACCTTAAAATAAGTTAGATTTCATACAAGGAAGTACAACAGTTAAGACATGTTCAACAAGTTTGAATACATGATACTGAAATATCGTCTGGTTTAATTTAATATTGTATACCAAACATGTACTAAATGAATCGCTTGTGAAGAGACTCTTACACTTCCTTTTGCACCTACATGGCGGCCGCAGGCTCGATTAGGTGGTGGTCTGTACCTATGAGTCTCTGGACCTCTATAATCAATGTCATAAATCTGTGAATCCGTGTTTTTCACATAAAACCCACCTACAAGATTGAATGACAAACTCGTTCAGAAGTTTAAACTCTAATTTCTATAGAGAAGAACAAGTTATTTGTATCACCAACCTCTCGAAGTCGAAGAGCATGGAGTAATGAGGAGAAGAACTAGAAGTAGCGGGCCGATAATGCTAGCTTTCGACTCCATGGAATTCCTAATTTAGGATAATAGAAGCTAACTATTTCTTGTTTTTCTTGGGTATATATAGCAAACAGGAATCTGCAGATATGATTAACCAAGCCTTGAGGGGAGATAGAAAAAGAATGGCACTTTACTGTACAACTTTTAGGACTTGAATCTGTCCCCATCCACACAGCAATTGATTACAAGGATCCGATGGAGATGTGTTTGGTTGGAACATTTATGTAGTGTAAGCCGACATTAGGCTTGTTTGGATAAAGTGTTATGGAGGAAAAACGTAGAGACGAAAATAGAGAATTTTTCTCCCTATATTTCTTTCCTCCTCGATAAGTATTTTTTCCCTTCCCTTGTAATTTGTATCCAAACAGAGTGCAAATTGGTAAATTCAGTTTTTCTTGTTGGATGGGGACAGTCCAATCCAGTCCAGTCCCGTCCTGTCCCGTGTGTGAATTGTCGATTAGAGACATGATCTGATTTAGCAGACCAGCTTTTGGCTTTACTTCACTACACATAAACCTGCCCTAAATTTGGAACCTGCCTCTTTCTGTCATAAAATGCATGGATTTCATGCATGGGCATGACATAACACAATTATGTAGATATGGGACTGATTTTCTGTTCATAGTGTACATGAGATATTTTATCCATCGATGAGGTGGTAAGATATAGTGGATAGAAGATATCTTGTCACTATGGGCAAGAGATTAGTCCTGTATGGCAATGTATGCCCAACATTTTTTGTGAAGTAAATTTGTATAATTATATGATATTCTAGTAGTTTACATAGAGCCCATTTGACATAGTTTTTGAAAAATAAAAAGTTATTTTTGATACTAAGAAGTTAATTTTGAACAATTTGGATAATTTTTTGAAAGTATTTTGACTTATTAGAAGAGCTTTTTAGAGGAAAATTGATTTAAGATAGCTTTATCAAGAAATTCTTATATAAAAAGCAGAAATAAAAGCAGAAATTCTACCAACCGAGCCTTTTTTCTTTTAGCACGGCACATTTCATGATACTTCATGCTGTGTTGTGGTCTATCATTTTTGGACTTGAATATGGAGGATTTTATAGAGGGGGATAGACATGCAGTAACTTAAGAAATAGGTGAACTTCTATATTTCTCGAATTTGAAGACTAACCATGTTGTCTCTTACATGACATGCTTGAGTTACATTCTTATAATTCCAAGTATATCAAATCTTGTTGGACTTTGACGCTAGATGTTGAGATAAATATCTTGTAGGTCATGATGGTATTCTCGAGTTTAGTACCTTAAAGCCTTGTCGAATTAATCTTACTTTTGACATGAATTTATAAATAGTTTATTTTGTTAATATGCAAAAATATATGATCGATAGTTCTAGTGGATACATGAAAATATGTGATGGAAAAGTTAAGACTCTTTATACCGATCTCAATGTCTTAGAAAGTTTGAGACTTGATTTCTATCATAAACAATGAACTTCTTGTCACGTCAAATTTGTAATTCATTCAATGTTGCATAATGTGATAGGTTCAATTAAATGTGAAATTATGTAATTTATTCTATTGTATTTTATTTAATGATATTTAGTATAACATAAACTGATATTGTAACACCAATAATTTTAAATAACATTAATCTTAAATTAATTTTCTAACCGTATCCCACACCACATTAAAACATTAATGAATGTAGCGAAATCAGGACTCGTAATGTGTCCCCACAAATTTCACGACACCACATAAGAATTAGTGGTCAAATGAAAATTAGGTCATTTTCATGTGCATTAATTAAAGGGCCCCGAAAATGTAAAGGGATTCATTGGAGGGATTGCTCGTTTCGAAGGGTGATTCCCTTTTCTATTAATCAAAACCTCTATCCAATTTATCCAGTGTGCACTCGAAGGGTAACGATTGCAAGTTTCCCCGTCATAAAAAAATAATAATAATAAATAAATAAATAAATAAAAACCTTTATCCAATTGTACATGTTTGCTAGTAGTTTGAAAAGTCAAAAATTATTTTTAAGATGAAAAAATTATTTTTAAACTTGTTTGACTTATTTTTTTAATATATTTTATTTGATTAGAAGAGCTTTTAAACAAAATTAATTTAAAGTGACTTTCTCAAGAAATTCTTTTATAAATCAAAAGTGGAAGCTTGCCAAATAGGCCCATTGTATTCGCCTATATATTTATCATTGTTCAACGTGAAATTTACCCTTAACTTGCCTTTGCATGGTGGTGAATCGTTTGTGCATTAGTTAGATCGAGTTGTTTGTTTAAATTTAATGAATTTTGATATCATATTAAACGATTTTTTGTATTTCATTATAATGTAATTCTAATAAAGAATGATAATGTACCACATAAAAATATGTGAATAATAAGTTAATAATAGTTGTGAATGTACGATTGAAATTAATATTTGATTTTGACTTTAAATTATAAAAATATTTTAATGAAATCCAAGCAACCACTAAGACTTGTGATCTATATTAAAATATCAATTTGATTAAAAGTCCATTTGACATGGCTGTTGCTTCATAAGGAAGTTAGTTTAATTTTTGTTTGAAAATTGATTATTAAAAGAGTTTTTTATTCTGAAGGTGCTTATAGAGAAAGTCATATTGTTTCAATTTTTTCTAATAACTCTTCTAATTAGAAAAATAATTTCATAAAATTAGCTAAACGAATCTAAAAACAACTTTTGAATCTCAAAAATTCCTTTCGTCTTCTAAAAATCAAGCCAAATTGGCCATTAAGATGAGTAACACAAGCTCTTATATGTTTATTAATTTGCCCTTTACGCCAAAAGCATTCCGAACACGCACCTATTGAACGAGAGGAGTAACTCGAGCTATTATATGTTGTTTATTAATTTGTCATTAACACCAAAAACACTCCAAACACGTCCTTGTGGATTGTTCATAATGGGGACACTTTTCGGATTGACATGCCCATACTCTTAATTTTAAGTGGGCTCTGTTTGGCTACATCATGGACAGCTATCTCCTTGTTGGACTGCCAGGCTACATCCTAATTTTTTGACTTTGACCTTTCAAACCCGATCCAATATTTAATTTGTGAGAAATCGAGAAATTATTTATTTAAATTTTTAATTTTCAATGCACCCTCTTTTATGTACATGATGGATTTATTTTATTTTTTTCCTTTTCAAAGTTTAGTAAAATTATAATTTTGATTTACAATATGCAGATATATAAGTTGTACAATTGGCATCGACAATGGTTTTGCTGCTAAAGAGTGGTACAATATGAAAGTGTCCGTATGAATCAATCATCCACCAACAAAGTGACATGGCATTTCTCTCTTATAGCCTTCATAAAACAATAGTTGATATTGCCAAGAAGAAGAATGGGTAGAGCACTCTATCACAATACACGAGAGCTAAAGTAGGAAAATGATATGATGGTAACCCTCACAAATTTATCTAGAACTGGATGTTCAGCCTTGTAGGAGACTCGCCTTGCCACTTTAGCGACCTAACCCACAACTCTAGTTTAGAAACACTCTTTACCCACTTTTCCCTTTTTCGTGCATCCAAAATCTTGATTTATATGCCCCAGCATATAGATAAATGAAATGGTCCTTGTTTGATTTAGATAAAAATTAGATTTTTAATTGATTTTGCTAAAATTTAATAGAATGTGTGGTTGAAAAATTATGAATTTCATTAAATGTATGGTTAAAATTAACTGTTAACTTTGATTTAAATGTTAATAATAAAAAAAATTTAGCTAAAACAAACAAGGACACATACTTTCAACATTCATTATAGGGAAAATTGTACATATGGTCCTTCATATATAGCTCCATTAGCAAGTTGTCCTCCACCTTTTCACTATAGTCACACAATCACCCTATATATGACAAATATTTTTTTGTTAAATACTCATGTGGTTTTAGAACAAGCCACTCTTCAAATTTTTGAAAACCGGTCCAAGAGAAATTAAAAGTCATGTTCGCTCGAACCACGTAACAATTTAAGTATTACTATAATAAAATGTTAAGGATTAATATGCTGTTTTTAGAAGTTGAGAACCAACTTGCTAATTGAACAATATGTAAGAAGCTAATAGTGCAATTTCCCTTTTATTAGGAGCAAGGCATTCAATTATTGTTTTGTCCCAAACTAGTCTACGCAAATTCTATCATAAAACCTTAAAATTCTTTTGTCATTTTCTGGCGGTGGGTATCCATCACAAAATAGATATGATTAGTGGTTTGCTTACAAGCTCAGTGATTAGTGGATTAATCATAACCAAAATGTTAATTCAAGTTATCATTATTAAGCCCCGTCTGACTTTGATATAAATCAGATTTTTAATAGATTTTAATAAACACTGATAAAATAAATAGTTAAAAATTGATAAAAATTATGAATTATATATAATATATGATTAAATTTTAAAATTAATTGTTAATTTGAACTTAAAATTTTATCATTTTCAAGATAATTATATTAAAGCAATCAAATACAAGAATATATTAGTCATTTTCATGAGAAAAAAATGCGCGAATGTTGATTTTTTTACCATTAAAATATTGGTTAATGCTGTTGGTATCAAGGACCAACTCAAAAATAGGGGGTGAGGTGTTACCAACTCAACCCTTGATTTAAATCCCATGGACCCAGATGAAGGGTTGAGATGTCACCACCTCAACCCCTATTTTTGAGCCTGTCATTGACCTTAGTTAGATAGCACGGCTCTAAAATATTAAGCTCATGTTAGATATGGATTAAAAAATTACTCAAAATTGTAGTCCAAGTTATCAATTAATTTTAATCACACTTTTAATGTGATTCGAAATTTTTATCAATTTTTTAATTATACATTTTATTAACTTTTATTAAAATTTACTAAAAAATTTAATTTTTAACTACATCAAACACGAACTAAATGATATTAATAACATATTATTGAGGGAAAATTGCAACGCTGTCTTCAAACACTGTAAATTGGTCCAATCATTTTTTAATTTTCGGATCACAAATCTTAATTTAGGTCACTAGGACTTTTTGGAAAGAAACAGTAAATTAATACTGTAATAATCATTAAGCCTTTTTTGGCAAATTTATAAATAATATAAATAATTATCTAAACGAAAACTTAGGGTGCGTTTGATTACAAGTAGGAAAATTACATGGAAAGAAAATGAATTCCAGGGAATTGAATTACCTAGAAATTGTTTTCATGGAAATTGTAAATTATTGTGTTTGATTGTATAAATTTTTCATGTGAAAAATGTTGAAGTAAAAGTATTTTTTGATGTTCGTTTGACTTTGTTTTACGTGAAAATTGTCAATTTCAGGGATATCCTCTTTTACAATTATTCCTAAAATTTGTTCCCACTGCCAACAATTAAAAAAAAATAAAAAAAGCAAAAAAAAAATAAAATAAAAATAAGGTGGAAAACCAAAAACCACCTATCCCCTAGGAAAAAAAAGGTGGAAAATCACGCTTTAAGGTGTTGTACCTAGAAATTCATGGAAAATCAATTCCCTGGAAAATTTTGTCAATCAAACAGGCTAAAAGTGGAAGTTGGAATTCGAATTCCAAGTTCCATGGAAAATTTCGTGTAATCAAACGGGGCCTTAGTATAAATTGACTTGCACGTAACTACTTTAGGTAGAAAGTTTTCATCAACTCCTTGTGTTTCTTAAAAGAAGGTAGAAAAGGTAAAAGGTTTTCATCACAACTTGCACCGTCGGGTTCATCATCGTCCGTAGCATTCACCCCTTCTTTTCTACAATAACGTTGTGTGTACATCCGGGTTGACACCTCGGATGACATTCCACAAATATGTGGGTGGAGCCCAAGCCTAATAAAATAATCGTGGCCTCACCCCATGTGTGTAGAGTATCATCCGGAATATCAATTCAGATGTACAAATAGCATAATCGTCTTTTCTAACACTCCATGCAGTGATGGATTCAGAAATTTTTTTTAAGTCGAACTAATATATAAAAAAATTTAAACTACACATAAAAATTTTGTTCTTACTTCCAAAAAAAATTACTACAAAAAAAGTGAATTGGGCTAGGGTACTAGGCTCCCCCTAAATCCGTCCACGTCTCCCTCTAGTTTCAAAATACCAAGGGGAGCACGCCAGTGGTATTAGAAAAAAAATGTTAAACCCTAACCTTAAGAGTCCCCCACCACTTCTGCCCTGGAGTATCGTGAGGGAGGTAAATCGCAGGTTATGCCTCCAACGGTACAGGGTGAAAGGCTGCTTGTACACTTGCATTTACCCAAGAGCCAAATCTATATTTCAGGATTCGAACCCTTGATGCAGCAGTCTCAAGCAAAGTTGGATTTCTCCACCCTCCCCTTTTACCACTTGGAGATGTGCCCTAGGGGCGCCAGTGGTATTAGAATTTACATGCAAGATATATGACTATTTAATAAAAAATTTTATCATTTAATTCCAAAGTAACTTATGTGTATGTAAATTGAAAGTTTAATATTATATATGGTTAAAAAATAAGGAAATTTTTTGAATATACATGAAATATTATTTTATTGAAGAATATATAGTTGAAATGAGATCAAATTACTGTTTAAAAATGGATCTTAATGAAAAAATGGAGTTCAAACAAGTCTTAAGAATATAAAAATCAAGAAAAATTTATTAGGAACTAAGTACTCAAAAATGACAATATCTCGAAACACCAACTTCCAATTTTCCTTTATTATACTTACTACAATTTTTCGAAAAGAAAAAAATTAAAAAAAAATACAAATGACAAAATCCCTTATGAATTAATTAATGTTATGAAGAAAACTTAACACCACCTGACCTTCTTTGCCTCCACAAATTGGCTTCTGGCATTAGCCTTTCCCCTGTTCTTGCTGGTTCTGATTTACACCTTGTAAGTAGTAAAGGATGCACTGTAACAACTTCCACAGTTGAACTCAATTTTTGAACATTATTTACTGAACCTTCAGATTCTTCACTTTCATGGCTATTTCTTGACTCAAAGGCCACATGTTCACAACAGGGGTTTTGATATTCTTGAAATTCATTCTTTATTTTTGCTTCCCTCTCTGTTTCTGGTGTAGCTAATGGGGGAGACTCCCAAACCCTGCTGGCCAATGATGAAGACCTGTAGGGAGCAGATCTGCTCCTAGTCAAAAGCAAAGCGATCTTGGGTGGAGAAGAATAATCAAGAAAAATTCCTTTATTTTCTTGAATTTGGCCTCCGAGAAGTTCCTGATTATTATCCACATGTGGAGAAGGGGAACCAAGAAAATCTCTTTTACTTTCTTGAATTTGGGCTTCAAGAATTTCATGTTTATTAACCACATGTGCGGAAGAGGAACCAAGAAAATTTCCTTTATTTTCTTGAATTTGGGGATGAATTTCATGATTATTATCAACATGTGAAGAAGAGGGATCAAGAAAATCCCTTTTATTTTCTTGAATTTGGGCTCCAAGAATTTCATTAGAGGAACCAAGAAAATCCACTTCATTTTCTTGCGATTGAGGTCCAAGAATTTCGCAATTATTACCAACATGATTTTGAACCTTACGACTTGTCTGAATTGGTTCAACCTCGAAAGATTCCTCTTTGGTATCAGCTTTCCTGCAACATCCAGACCGGACAAACAAATCCCATTTGAGAAAAGACCGGCGGAAGGCCTTTGGTTTGTGAAATCTTGAAGTACAATTCCGACACAAAATTTTCTTGAACAACCGGCAGGGGCGGGTTTGGTTGGTGGCGCCGCCAGCTTTCTTGGGCCGCGAGGTTTTAGAGGACCTTCGAACTCTGACTTGACCAATGCAAGTGACTTTGGGTGAGGATGGTTCTTGAGCTGTTTCTATCACTTCTGCATTCTTTTTATTGCGAAAGTAAAAGATTGGGCTTGCACGTGACCTACTTCTGCTTCTGCTTCTGCTTCTGCTGCTGCCATTGCTCCTCGAGAACATCATCAATGGCGGTGAAAATTTCTCTGCTCTGCTTGGACTTGATATTGGCTTTGACGAAATCTTCATCTTCTTCTCTCTCTCTCTCTATATAAACATGCATAGTGCATACAATTGTATTTTTCTACTGTTTATGGGTCACTCTTTTATATCTTCTAATGTTTCTTTTTGGTTGTTCTGGTGGGAGAAAGATTAGAATTGAAGGGAGGGTAGACAACAAGCTATCTCTTTCATATCACCTTAATATTCTTACGAAGATATGATATATTTCGATCGGTTTTTATCTGAGTAAGAGACGAGATATCTTATTTTTTATTATAGATTTACAGGGAAAATTTACCGCAACAAAGTGAACGGAGCTCTCACATTAAAAGTTATTTACAATAATTGTGCGTTAATATATGTATATGTTTAGAGCACTGTTATATGCACGGATAGATTTATAAAATGTCACGTGACAACATTTTATTAGATTTTGAACAAAAAATATAGTTAAAATAGCCAATCGAGTGCTGAGATCTCAGCACTTATAAAATTGCCTTTGCTTTTTTCCTATTCAAGTATCATGTGAATGTGATATGTCTCTATGTTCGTTTAAGTGCAGTAAATATTGATCAGTGATTGCCGTTGGTAGATTTGTAGGTACTTGGTACCATCATGTAGAATTCTGCCAATGGCTTTCAATCTGGTCAAAAATTTACTGTTTGGAAGGTAATATCTGCAGTGCACAGTTATCAGAAAAGGGAATGGATGGTGTGAAAATTATGGTTTCACCCGAGTTGATGGGTGATAGGTACTTCTTTTCAGAGTAACGGCATTATTACCAAACTTATTGATAGTTTACCAATTTTGATAACGTCGTAATGTGACTCAAATTTTAAGAGGTATTGCAGTCTTTGTTTAAGTGGTCATGTGAAGATCAAAATTATTGATCGAAAAGAAAAGACACAAATTTTCGCTGGTCTATTGCTAGCTGGCCACACGAACTGTAGGGAAACTTTTTGGAACAGGGAGCTATCACTCGCCTGTCGCTGAATTCTCGCTCAAGCGACAGGGCTGTCGCTAACCTACAGCTAGACTTCGATCAAGCGACAGCGCCATCTAGATTTTTCGCTTTATGTCGATTTTAAGCACATTTTGAACTAGTTTCCATCTTTTAGGTTACTTTTAGTTTTTGACATGTACTCTATAAATAGTAGACTTTCCATTCAATTTAGTTATTATAGAGACTGATGAATTTATTGGTTGTCAATTAATAAAATTACTAGATTCCTCTATCAATCTCTCTTCTTGCTTTAATCTTATTCTTGCTTGTGCGATCAATACTTTATTTTGTGTCATATAACCTCTCCATTTCATAACAAGTGGTATCAAAGCTGTTCTGCTTTCAATAAAGTAGTTTTAGATCTGGTTCTGATCATAACAAGTGGTATTAGAGTAAGCTTGTGATTCTGTTTAAGGTTTCTGTTATTGATGGTAACCATGAAGTATGAAATTTTGCTTTTAGATTGCAATACAAGATTTTCGTTGTGGAAAGTGAAGATGCGAGCTATATTAACGTAGATGGATTTGGATGATGTATTGTTAGAATTTGATAAGATGCCCACAATTTGAACAACAAAGAAGAAGCAACGGAAGGATTGAAAAGTACTTTTGCATATTCATCTTCATTTATCTAACAACATTCTTTAGGATGATTTAAAGAAAAAAGACAGCTGCAGCATCGTGGTTAAAGTTGGAGTAATTTGTTGACCTAATGATTGACTTCTCGATTTGATTATCACAAACAAATTACATTTAACTCTAACGAATTGGATTAGGTATTGATAGTGTTCATCGCAAAACTAACAAGGGATGAAGACACGAGAATCAAGATCAAGAACCACGCACATGGACGAACTTTTTGGAGCTTAACGATCAAATTGACTAGCGTGGAAATAAAAATCGAGCTTTCGCATAAAAAATCACATTGGAAGAAGAGATAGAAGACTTTTGCTATAGATGCGTTTTTTGTACTCAAATGTAAAGGTAAAACACTTTAATATTTCGCATCGATTATAATTCAAACAATTTTTATGCACAAGACTCTTTCACAACAAACAATACTTGTATAAAAAATATTTTCAAAAGACAAGTATCTCGATTTTCAAGATTATATATTTACAAAAAACTTATCTATACAATATATGAGAAAATCTTTTAACTACCTGCATGAAAAATTTCATCACAAAGGAGAAAGTTCAGAGGGGCATTTTTTCGCCATCCGGACGTCCGAATGACCTCACCAATGGTCATTTAAGTGACCATTTCTCAAACAGCTAGTTACCCATCTGGATTCCAAGCGAACGTCTGGATTGACAGAATTTTTGACCGTTTGATGGTAAAAATACCCCACTTTCTACCACAATCAACATTCAATTCTTGAGCATTAAGGTGAAGCATTTATTGATCTTTCTATCTTAGTTTTGAATTCTTAAAAGATCAAATTATTTAACTTTTGAAAAACTTTTTGAGTGACCAAAAATTTGTAAAAATTATATATCTCAATTGAAGTTTTTCTTATACAACACGTGAGCTATATTCTTTGTGAATTATTGAAGTGTTGTACCTATTTCTCTCTTGATTCTTAATTAAGTTCATATCATTAATTAAGAGAGAAACTTTTAATTGTAATATCATTTTTGTTTTTGGATTGTGGGTCGATTGAGGTCTCAGAAAGCTCAACAGTGTAAAGAGATCGATGCTCCTTGGTTGTAAGTTACCGAAAGCATTGTAAACGTTGGATTGCCACATAAGTCAATCATATTTAGTGGAAAAAGGTCTTGCTCGTGACGGAGAGCTTGGTAACTAGGGACGTAGATCGTTAATTGGATCAAACCTCCATAACATATCGTTTGCATCTTCTTTCCCTTTCTCTTGATTATTTTTCAAGTTATCTTGTTTGCTCATTATCTTATTTGTAAATTGATTAAACTAGCATTTATTTTTGAAAAAGATTTAAATAAAAAATTCACCCCCTCTTGGTTAGCCGTTCTTGGGTTTTCATAATTGTGCATGACTAGAAGTCTGACAAGTACGTTGCAACTGAAGAAGAAGTTATCTTCTTATCGAATGGCAAAATGAGGATCTTTGGAAGAACATCTAGTCGTATTCAAGGAAATTGTCGCTGATTTGAATATGTTAGAGGTAAAATATGATGAAGGTGATTTGACCTTGATCCTGTTGTGCTCACTTTCTGCTTCGTTTTCATCATTCAAGGACACAATTTATACAGTCGTGACACACTTACCATCGAAGACGTGTATGATGCCTTGTTCTCTAAGGAGAAAATGAAGCATTTGGTTGGAGAAAGTCCAGAGGTGAAGAAGCTCTTGTAATATATGGTGATCCTTAAAAAGGTAAATCGAAGTCGAGTTACAACAATTTGGTTTGTTTTTATTGTAAGAAGAAAGAACGCATCAAGAGAGATTGCGAGAAATTGTAGAGCAGGTATAATTCAACTACAAATTATGGAAACAATCAAATACTTCTAATAAGGCCAACATAATAGAGGACTATTTGAGTGATGGAGATCTCTTGGCGACTTCTGACGTGGAATCCAAACCTAATGAGGAGTGATTTTTTAATACAGCTTGTGTGTTCCATATGTGTCCTAATCGAGATTTTTTTGAAACATATGAAATATTGATGTAAGGTGTTGCTGTCATGGGCAACAATAGATCTTATTGGATTGCTGATATTGATGGGGTCAAATTGAAGTTGTTGGATGGAATAATTAAAACACTTGGTTAGGTTCGACATGTTCTAAATTTGAAGAATAATCTCATCTCACTAAGTACCCTTGATTTGAAAGGTTATGAGTTTTCTGAAGGAGGTGGAGTCTTGAAGGTTTAAAAGGGTGTCCGTGTAGTATTGGAATGGCGAAAGAAGTCCCAGTTGTACGTCTTGCAACGTTGCGCAGAATCAGTGAAGAATTATTTGCACAGATTTTGTACCATGGTGGATATAAAGTTTGGTAGAGTACCTTTGGGAGTTGGCTCTGGGTCATTATTGAAGAACATTACTTGGATGAGTTTGGAGGATATGGATAATTCCGCTCTGCCACCATTGTCTGCGGTGGCATCATGCTCAATTGCTAGAGAAAGACCCATTGAGGATGGGTGCGAGTATGTTGATCTGGTTGCATATGTTTTTTTGTGATTTAAAGGTGTTGAGATTAGTAAGGGGTCTTTAGTTAAAGCCTTTGGAGCCAATCTGCTACAAAGTGTGTTTTGACCTATTTGGTAAATCTTGCATTCCTCGTGGGAATTTTGGGAACCTAGTGTTTGGGTTCGGTATTATTTGTGGATACTATGGAAGAGGAAGAGTAATTTTCATAAGTTGAAGAAGTTTGGTTCTAGTTAAAGAGTTTAGTCTATTTCGTTGCAATCGGACTTATTTTTTTAGGTGGAAAAATTTTGGAGATTTGTTGTTATGTATCCCAAATTCTAGTAGGCATTAAATTCCTAGTTGAAGTGGTCATGAAGAGATCGAAATTATGGATCGAAAAGAAATGTTGTCGAATTTTCGCTAGCTGGCCGCTCGAGCAAAAAAGAACTTTTTAAAGTAGATAGTTGTCACCTACCTATCGTCGAGCTCTTGCTCGAGCGATAGGACTGTTGCTCGCCTACAATTAGACGGTGCTCGAGTGATACCATCTAGGTTTTTTGCTTTATGTCAGTTTAACGCGTATTTTGACCTAGTTTCTATCTTTTAGGTTAATTATAAGGTTTAGACATGTCCCCTATAATAAATAGTAGACTCTTCATTCAATTTAGATATTGCGAAGATTGCTGAAATTGTATTTTTCTCTTCATTGGTAGTTAATTAATAAAAATACTCTTTTCCTCTACCAATATCTCTTCTTGCTTTAATCTTATTTTTGCTTGTGCCATCAATACTTTATATTGTGTCATATAATCTCTTCATTTCATAACAAGTCGTATCAGAGCTGTTCTGCTTTTAATAAAGTAATTTCAGACTTGGTCTGGATCATAACAGGTTATCCTGACATGATTCATTCTATCAATGTTGAAGTGGACCATTCATCAGTCTCCTACTATATATAGTATGAGAATCTTTATGGCGTTTGTAATAAGTGGATCAAACAATGAATAAGATTAAGCTCGTGTTTGGTCTATCTATTTATCTTTAGCAAAATCTAATAAATTTGATTTTGAAATTTCCAAATAAAAAATTGAGATCTATTAGAAACAACTGTTTGTATAGGCTAACTATGGTTCTATACTATTTTTTCAATTAACATATATTTCTTAACAAGCGTGTCTAAAGATCCAAATGCACCGCTCAATAAATTCACAAGTTCTATGAGATGTCATTGTGTTAGTCTTTCACAATTGAAATTCAGTCAAGGATAAATTTAACTTTACAGTAAAAAAGGCCAT